TGTTACTACAGCACTAGTAGGGAAGTCCGGGAAAGTTGGACAGGTATCATGTAAAAAACCTATAAAACGTCAAAAAAAAACCTATAAGACGTCAACTTGCAGACTAGGTAGTTTCTAGGGCGCAAACAGTCATTCTACGTTTGCTCACTAGGATCGTTGTGAACGTCCATCTATGGAGGAATCGCTCAACTAAACTACGCATTATTGGTTGCATAGTTTTGTGGGGCTGAGTGATCCGGCACGGGTATCATGTAAAAAACCTACAAAACGTCAAAAAAAACCTATAAGATGTCAACTTGCAGACTAGGTAGTTTTTAGGGCGCAAACGGTGATTCCACGTTTGCTCACTAAGATAGTTGTGAACGTCCATCTATGGAGGAATCACTAAACTAAACTATACACGCATTACTGGTTGCATAGCTTTGTGAGGCTGAATGATCCGTGTCTGTAGTTTTTATCTCTGAGAAGAAAGTTGGTTGAATAACAAGATCGCATCTGGATGATTATGTGTATTGATCTGCATGTGTATAGAATCAGTGATATTTGCTGTGTGAGAAAATCATTACTGAATATGCTGTATAGACGGGTTATTTATATGTTGTGCTTTCTGAAGAGAGGTTATGTTCAAAGTTATAAATTACGAAAAACTGAGGAGAATTACGGGAAATCAGCATTTATATGGCTTGTACTTACTGTACTTATTTCTGATCTCTCTCATTTTCGAAATTAAGTTAATATCTTGTAGAATAACCTACATAATGTCAAAAAAAACAGCATAATGTCAAAAAAAATCGGCATAATGTGACTTTTCGAGATGGATAAAATTGTAATTATGAAATCCAACTTGACCACTCAAACACGTATGCATTACATTTTTTTGCAGCTACTTGATGTCGAAATCGCCATTAATCTAGTGTTTGAACTGTAACTATAGGTTTTAAACAAATGATTTGTGATTCAAGTGTCTCAAACCCAGGGATGCTATAGTGGCAGTGAGAAATAGTGAATTTAGACATAATAAATAATAGTTTAAAAAACTAAAAAAACACGCTAATGACCGGAAAATAAAATTATAATAAAATATAAGTTATTGACAGAATAATTCAATTCAGATTAAAAAGCGTGGGGTGCTTGATATATTGAATTGCAATCATTCTATTGGCAACTATCTATGAGAGGAAATATATGAAATTGTTGTAAAATGCACCGCACGCTTTTTATTCTGAATTGAATTATTCTGTTAATAACTTAAATTTTATTATAATTTTATTTTCATGCCATTAATTATGACTAATTGTTCCACCATCTACTACTTTAATTAATATAAACTCTGTGTAATTAAAAATTATTGTCTACTTTTTAGTTCGGTTTGCTATAAAAGCGTACATTTTATTTTTTTTTTAACTATTATTTATTTTTTATTTTTTAGTACGATTTATCAATTATTTTTTTTTTAATTCTTTGATCGCATATTAAATTCCTTCTTTATCGACTGTAAATTCAAAGCTTAGCTGTTTAAAAAATTTTGTTCCGTAAAATAAATAGATTGAAATTTATGTTCTGATCATTTTGTTGTGAATATGAAGCCTTTTTTTGAAAATCGTTCAGACCCGTCGATTTTGTTTTCGATGGAGACACAAGTCTGGCAAAAAATCACTTTACCACGTGCAGCTCCCTAAGCGGGGGTGACACCACCCCCAAAATCTTAAATGGAAAGGGGGGTCGAGTGATACCTTATTTTAAAGGTCTTTCAATTCCCTTTATAATGATGTAAAATACATGAGCTTCAGTTCAGTAGTTTTGAAGATTTATTAAGTTCAGCGCAGTTTAAATCTTCTGAGAAAAAAGTCAGTCAATTCAATGGAACGGATCAAGTCAGTCAAACAAGCCCATACGATTAGTCCATAGACATTATTTTCCTGTCCTACCGGTAATTACTGTCCATCTGGCAACGTCGTCCGTTTCCACATCTGCGCGACATCGTTGCGGCGAGTTATTTCATTTCGTTCATGGTCCGTGTATATGTTTTTTCGGTTCGCCGAGCGGTGAGCTTAGATAGCAGGAGTACGAGGATCGAAAACACTGTCATTCATCATTAAAGGTAAACGGGTGATTGTCGAATACCGGATAAATTCAAAGGTAATTTGACAAATCGAATAATATAAAATTATCATATCAACAATTACTTGAATGTGTACAGAAAAAAGTGTCATTGGTATTGTGGGACATTGAACCAGCTAAGTATTTTCTAATATTGGATTTACTTGAAGTTTTTGGGAAAACAGTGACGTGGGAATAATGATCTATACACGGAAATGACAAACTGTAAAAACGGGAATGTGAATGCACGAAAAAGGTGAAGCTATATATTTAGTATACTTCAACGATCTTGTTTCAAATAAATCCACTGAAAACACTGAAATGCCTCATGTTCAAACTACTCTTTAAAAAGGCGTTTGGCATTTGCACAGTTGTTGCATTTATGTATAATGGAAAATTCCCGGGAGTTGGGAGCGTATGAATATACTAAGATCAAAAAAAAAATTCGTACACCCTCCCCATACCCCTACCACCTCTGAATTTTAACTAAGTACACACATTTGTCTAAAAATGATCAGGGCCCTTAAGAAAACGTCAAAACGAAGTTTGAGCGGTTTATATTTTTTGTTTTGGCTTTTTTCTCCGTTGTCGATGGACCGATACTTAAAAACTTTAAAGCTTTTCCGCCCTTGGCATGGTTGCAACTTTGTTCAAGTTAAAGACCGACGGAAATAAAAGACATAGTTTTTCCTGGTGTACATATACTAAGTGACATATAAATCCGAACACCCAGTTTAAATGGTTTTATTTTAATAAAAGTTGGTGAATGTATTTATCTTACTGTAAATAACAAGTGAAAAAATGTTCAGCCTTATCAGTTGGACATTCCGGTTTTTATACTGCTTTTTTTTAATTCACTAACGCTCTAAAAATGCATATTTCAGCCGCAGTAAAGAATCAACGTCGGCGGATTTTGGTTCTTGACATCCTTTACGATCGGTTACGATGCCTAGAGTACGGAGACCTGTACGATTTCGTCAACTTAGTGAGTTTGATAGGGGCCGTATAGGGGGACTTCGGGAAGCTGGACTTTCTTTTCGGGCAATTGCAGTTAGAGTGCAAAGAAGTGTAGACACTGTGGTTAGGTGTTGTCAGGCATAGCTTCGAGAAGGCCGTACGCAAAGAGCAAGGGGCACTGGACGCCGCCGTAGAACAACAGACCGTGAAGATCGCCGCCTAAGATTATTGGCCTTAAGGGACCGTTTCTCCACTACCAGGTCCATTGCAAATGAATGGTTTGCAGAACACGGAAGACCTATTGGCATGCGAAGTGTTTACCGACGAATGAGAAGTTTTGGCTTGTTTTCATACCGGCCACACTGGGTCTCCCTTTAACTCGAGAACACCGACGTAATCGCCTTGAGTGGTGCAGACAACGGTCACTCTGGGATCAGGAATGGAACAGTATTGTCTTTAGTGACGAGTCTCGATTTTGTTTAGGCATGCACGATGGTCGTGCCAGGGTTAGAAGGCGACGTGGTGAAAGGAGGAATCCACAGTTTTTTGTTGAAAGACATGTTCATCACACTGTTGGAGTTATGGTTTGGGGTGCTATAGCTTATGGTTCCAGGTCACCTTTAATCTTCATCAAAGGTAACATGAACGCGCAGCGTTATATCCACGAAGTTCTAGAACCCCATCTTTTACCCTATCTTGACACCCTGGCAGATCCAACTTTCCAACAAGATAATGCCCGACCACATGTTGCAAGAGTCACAATAGACTTCTTTCAACATAATGATGTCACATTGTTACCATGGCCACTAAGGTCTCCCGACTTATCCCCAATTGAGCACGTGTGGGATATGATGGGTAGGAGATTGCTCAATTTCTAACGTCCTCCTCAGACTCTAGAAGCACTTCGAGAGGAGTTGGTGGTTGCCTGGAATGAGATACCACAGGAGGACATTGACCACCTGATCAGAAACATGCCTAGGCGCGTTTTAGAATGCGTAGCACATCAGGGTGCATCCACACATTATTAAAGGTCAAAGGGCTTTAAAGCAGTACAATCATTTTGAAATTTTTATCATTCACTTATTATGCTTCATAAAGTACTTATACAAAATTTTATTAAAATAAAACCATTTAAACTGGGTGTTCGGATTTATATGTCACTTAGTATATAATATTAATAATTAAAATGTAGTATCCAAAAAACATAATTCAACATTCTAGACATTTTGGCGATTGCAATAATTCGGTCAGTTTCCATTATATCCGAAAACCAAAAATCAAAATCGGTTCATTTTTTAAGATAGGTGATAACATGCCACGGTCTTTTGCATTCGGGGGGTTAAAAATGGCGACAGATAGCTTGACTTTTCAAGCAAACTGTCCATTTGTTTTTACAATTTTTTTTACAGAATTAGAAGTGAAGTTGATACGATCTTTGGTCATCATCATTTTAAATGTTTAATAGGCGTATCTTTATCTGGCGGATGGATACTATTTTATCATTTAAGCATTTCCTGTAAATGTCTAATCTAATACGGTCGTAAAAGGGTATCAGTTCGAACAACAGTTTAGTAATATGTCAGTGAAATCACGTAATAGAAAGCACTATGAATAGTTCCACATGAATGCGTCTTAAAATACACAACTTGTTTCAATATTTGCATGAGTTACATGTAGGATTACCAAAGCAAAGCAACACTTGACCAGAAACTATTATGAGTTACTGAAATCTAACAACATCCAACTTTACAGAGCGCCCCATCAACATTTGACGTAACAGAGGCATGGAAACTTGGGTTCGTAGTAAGGTGGGTGGTCCATGGTAGGCCATGCCTCGCTTTGTTGAGATCGGTCGTCGACGTTAAAGTTATAATCCGAGCTTTCAGCAAAACGTAAGTTTTCAAGCAAATAAATTTATATTAAAAGGCCATTAAGAGCACCTTACCGCAAACGTAGTTCCAGGATATCTCGCTTTATTGTTGATGCAGTTTCCAGCTCTATAATCAGATGAAAATAGCAAAGTTCGGAAAAAACTTCTTTTTTGTCAAATGTAGGTTTCGATATAAAACTCAGTAAAATTATTTTGAAAATATTTTCAGAATAACATTCTTAGATTTATGATGGCGTTCAAGTAATGTTCATCGAGTATTTTCAATGAGAATATTTCGCTTTAATGAAAGAGCTTTATATGCAGTTTAAATAATATGACCAGATATTTCGATCACAACGTTAGTTTTTAATCAAACGAAAGATTTATTATATGTATTGGAATTGTAAGGAGTCTTGTTACATTAGCGTAAAAATTGGCAACTACAGGCCAACGTATTGTAGTATAACAATTTTTTTTCGCATTTTTACCTTTGAACTATAATTTGTAATGGGTTTCCTAAAGTTTGGACAAAAGTGGAATACAAAGTGTAATTGCGAATTTTGTGTTCAAAATAATTTTCCCTGTCATCCGGTCCTGCACTGTCGACTTTGATATATCATACTGTTTACATATTTCAAGCAACTTTTCTCACAGCTTCAACTGTCTCATTTAGCCTGCCTTCACTATACAGGGTGACTTCGAAGTTGAGTCATTTATTTTAACAGTGAGTAGATCTGATCAAAAGAAATGTTTTTTTCCTTTACCATTTTTCTGGTAAAATTAAAGTAACAAAGTTATAGCCCTTTGGAAGTTTGAGTACCGCCCTGTCTCAATAATAATATTATGTGCTCTTGTTTGGCAACAACGGATATAATCCGCCTTATCGGTTCATCGCATCGGAAACAAAAAAGCGAAAGAATTTGGAACGATGTTTTTACAATTATTTTATTCAGTTGTATACAGTCAGTGTCAGTCGGTAAGCGTTAGTGAATAGTGGTGTCTGTTGCGTGGCTCAAACGAAATAAAAAATGGCACATGTTTATGCGGATCGGTTTCCCAATCGAGTGCAACCAACCCCTCGTGCCTTTGTTAATGTAGTACAACGGGCTCGTGAATCAGGTGACTTAAGACCTCACAGGGGACGGCATGCCGGTGCTCCAAGACCTCACGATCAAATACAGGTCCGCACTGAAATACTTGTCGGGAGGATACTTTATAAAACAAGGTAACATTTTTTTTTATTTTTTTTTTTATTTTTACACACATATGTTGGTTTATCTTCCTTCTACAATCATTGTCTGAAAATGAATGACTCAACTTCAAAGTCACCCTGTATATACAGAATTTATTTTTTTATTGGTATCCATTGCGGATGAAGTGGAAATAAATAAATTTTATTTCAGTCTCGTGAAAAAATGGAAGTGGCCAATCCTTGGCATGCTTTGAAAATTCGGGCACAATATCACTGGCCATAATCCACATTATTGTTGTCTTTCGTTGTCCGTCCACTGGCTTGGGCTTCCGTCCGATTTTGATTTGTTTAATTCCAAGAGAAAAGTTTGGTAGTTTGTATGTTTAAAGAGAAAAGAATAGATTGCCAAGGACAAGTGTCCGACTACTGGATTTTGACTATAGTACAGTATGATGATCCAGTCAGCGGCCACTCCAATTTGACATCAAAATGTTAGAATAACATATTAACATTAATTTATTTCGTAAATTTTGAATGTCTTCTGCATATGTAACAAAAACAGTATTTATATATTGCCAGCTGATGATTCTACTTGCCTTCAAAGTTTATGTCACTCACTACGCAAATGGGAAACATTAAGAAGTCGAATTCTAATAATGTTATTATGACAACTGTGGATGTGTAATGTCTGTAAGCTGTCGCAAATTAGTTGATGAAATTGGTACCAATTAGCAACAGGTATAGGATTTTTTACAAATAATATACCATTTGTCCGACTACTGGCACATTACCGTGGGTACCATTTAAATCGTAGTAATTTGAAGTGAAATTTCTCACAAGTATACGCAGCGTCAAAGGAAACAGGCATTGAAGAAACTTACACAAGGCAGTAGATAAGTGTATCTAGCTCTCGCACTTGATACGGAAGACACAAACCAGCAACACAATGAGGAGTCCAGTACAGCGAAAACAATGTCAATAGTCCCAACAGGTCTGCCTAGTAGCCCGCGTGTTGCACGGTGCCGAGAATGCGTGACCTTTGTACGAGCGGCGGTCCGTAAGGTAGGATTCCTGCAGGGGCTGTGGGTCGCGACGGTGCTTGCACGGTGCGTGCGTCCTAGCTATATCGTCTATCGACCGTTCACTCGCGGGCAACAGTCAGACTGTTCGACTGTTAGCCCTCTTGCTATGCGGGACGGAGAGGAAAGCGTCGCGGCCGGAATGCCAGGCGTCGCTGCACTGGACCAGTGTCGCGGAGCATAGGCGGCGTGTAGGATTGGAAAAGGGGTACAACTAGACCTGCAAAATGTATTTTGTAAAGATTGATACTCCAGGTATTTTCAGACCGTTCTCAATTTTGTATTATCCTTGTCTTGAATCGGTGTAGAATGCCAAACAACTGCTGTATCGTCTTCAAAAATATAGTCATGTCTCTTCTGAGATCAAGGAGTTGAAATGGCTGAAAATGGATCAACAAATTGAATGTAATCTTAAGCTATTTGTGCATAAAATAATATGTACAAAAAGGCCTATTTATCTACATAGTAAATTGATATCTATATAGAGGAATCATTAATCTGAGTGCCATATTGTGAGTCGCTCCTACAATTGAAGACAAACGGATAAAGTGTAACAAAATCATTGTGTGGAAAAAATTGACTTTGTTGTGGTTATTTAGAAGTAAGAAGCATTGGGATTCGAAGAATTTCAAGTAACTGCGTGAAATTATCGTCGCATTAAGAACAAGTGCCAAAATCTTCATTTTTCCTCCGTTTTCGGCCATAATTTTTACTATTAGTGGGAACTTTTTACGGGTTTTCTCATCCTGTAGGTCTCATAAATACCTAAAAATCTTATTTGAAGAGTTTTTCGTTCCTGCCAACACTTTCTATTGAATCCCAAAAACACGTGTTCTCATTCTTTGTTGTCGAAAAAAAGTTTTCCCATAAAAGTTGATGTACCCATCTTATGCGTCCATGTTTCAAATACCCCCTTGAACAACTTGCATCAATGAAACCAGACTCTACAATTATTTCGCAAACCAGTGGTATTACTTTCGTCTAATTATACATATTTACACACACAATAGGGTTAGGAGCAACAGTAGCCAACTTTTTTTTTTTTTTTTTTGGTGAGGGGGGAATGCATTTACGCACCATACCATAGCCCGAGCTACGGCGTGTGTGGGACTCCAGGGTCTTGAGGAGATCACCTAATACCCACTAAACCCTAAACCTCCGCGTGGCCCGACTCATCAGCGTCTCGGTAGGCCATGTGTTGTGCGTGACCTGCGGTCTGCTACAACGTCTCTTCATGTGTTTCAGTCTCTGGGAACGCCGGGTTGGTTCCCTTTACCTCGCACATTCTATCGATGTCGTTAAGCGATCATCGATAGAGGGTCTGCTAGGTTCTCTTGAAACTCTTGTTTTCGAAAAATCAAGAGTTTCAAGTCCTCTTACCAATATGTTGTTCCTGGTCCTGGTCCTGAAGGGTCCTGGTCCTGGTGGGTCCTGGTCGTGGCGGGTCCTGGTCCTGGTTGGTCCTGGTCCCGGTGGGTCCTGGTCCCGGTGGTTCCTGGTCCTCTGCATCCACGCCGTGGGGGGGGGGGGGGAGCAACCGCGAGTTCTCCTAGTCTCCTAGTCAAGGTTCCAGTTAGCGGGTGCCAACTGGGACCTTGGTCTGGGGTACCTGGTTCTGCGGTTGCGAGGCCTCTCGTCCGGATCGTAGTCCATGAGGAATCGTAGCTGCTCGTTCGGGTGATCCTGAGCTTTCTCGAAGGTCTTCTCCGCTTTTTTCCTCATGTACTCGTGGATGGTGTCCCAATGCAGGTCTCTACGCAAGGTTGAGTTTCTTACGTAGGATGGTGCACTGGTGGCGATCCGGAGTAGCTTCATCTCTAGAGCAGCAAGTCGCTTGCGGTAGCTGGGGGCAGCGTACCCCCAGACCGCGGAGGCGTAAGCGAGCTGAGGTCTGGCGATGGCCTTGATCAGCCGTAGCTTGGTCGCTAGCGGCATCCGGCTGTGTCTACCCAGTAATGGGTAGAGTTGAGCCATGGCTGCTCTGGTCTTTGCGATGACAGCTTCTATGTGGGCTTTCCAGGTGAGGGACTTGTCAAATACGATCCCCAGATATTTGACTTTGTCGCTCCACTGGATATCTTCGTCGAAGATGGATGCTTCGAGAGGTCTTGCAATCCTTCTTCGTTGAATGAAGATTGCCCGCGTCTTCTGGACGTTGATGCGAATTTTCCATTTCACGCACCAGTCCTGGATGTTGTCCAGTTCACCCTGTAGTCTCCTACGGATGATCTCGGGTCGTCTATGCTTGGCGGCTATAGCAGTGTCATCTGCATATAGGGCCAGCATTGTGTCAGCTGTCTTCGGCACATCGTGAGTATAGATGTTGTAGAGCATGGGGGCTAAGGCTGACCCCTGGGGCACGCCTGCTTCCAGCTGTCGTCTTGTTGAATGGCATGTACCAATCTTCACCGTGAACCATCTTTGTGTTAGATAGCTCTTGATCAGTTGGCACATGTTCGCATCGATTCCGGCGGCTTCCATTTTGGCGATGAGTCCATCGTGCCAAACTCGGTCGAAGGCTCGTTCCACGTCCAGCAGGACGAGACCGGTTGCCTCCTGGAGATTGAAGCCGCTGGTGATGTTTTCCGTCAGTCGTAGCGCTTGGAGTTCCGTGTTGTGGGAGGATCTGAAGCCGAATTGCTCTGGGGGGAGAAGTTGCAGTTCTTCTGCCTGCTTCTCTAGTCGAACGGCGATAGCCTTTTCGACTACTTTGCCCATCGAGGAAACCAGGCTGATGGGCCGGTAGTTCTGGGGCAACTTCCGGTCCTTGCCTGGCTTGGTGAGCATTATAACCTGGGCTTCCCGCCACCGCCGCGGGAAGTGGTTAAGTCTCAGAGTGGCATTGGCGATGTTGGTGAGCGCAGCAATGCCTTTGGAGGGAAGGTTCTTCAGCATCCTGTTGTTGATGCCGTCCCTTCCCGGCGCCTTTCTGACCTTCAACCTGCGGATGATCAGGCGGATTTCCTCTGGACTGGAGGGGTGATCCGTCTCCTGGCCAGGTGGTCGACTCCTCATGATTTCGGCTGCGACTTCCACGGCCTCCTCGTGGTTGTCTTCCTCGTCTTCATGGTAATTGAGTCTGCATTCGGATTCTAGCGAATCGGCGAATGCTTCGGCTTTTTCTTCACTGGAGTAGGCCAAGCCGCGTTGGCCGTGAAGAGTGGGGATCGTGGTGCGCTGACGACGAAATTTTCGCTGCATATTCCAGGCCGTACCATCCTGGGTCTCTAGTTCTGCACAGGCTGCATTCCATCTGCTGATTTGGAGTTCCGCGAGTGCGTTCTTCAGAGCTAGCGATGCTCTGTTTCGCGCAACTCTCGACTCCTCTGTCAACAGCTGGAGATGTTCTCGCTTGAGTCTTCTGTTCTCCCTGATCAGGTGCCTAATATGGTGCGCTGCTGGACCATTTAGGTGTCTAGGAACTGCCGTAGTCTCGGAGCGGGTCCTGTCCTCGTGCGCTCGCAGATCACAAAATCTTGTACACAGTGGGCTTATATACATAGATATTCAGTTCGGTTGAAGCCTATGGACGGGAGGGGAGGGGTGGTGGGCGTTGCTTGCTACCTTTGTATTGGCATTGGTAGAGACGCAGACGATTTGTCGATGTTTCTGAAACAGGGTGGTACCGCTTTATACAGTCAGAGACCGTCTACAACCTACGGACAACCACAACATCCATGGCCAAGAGAAAAATTGTCTTGAGACGGGATTCGAACCCGCGCAGTGCACGGTGACTGATTAGGAGACACATAATGCTATTATCATCACTATCATTTCCATTTTACAGAATAGAACTGTATTCGTTTATTTGGGGTTTCAAACACCAGATGATTCGGTGCGGATAAATTACTGCGCTGCACAGTTTTTAACACAGAAAATGGCTATCTAAAAATGGTAGGAACTAAACAATCCACTCGACACAATTTTTTTTCCAGAAGCCTTCATTGGAAGCATGCTATTGTCATACGATCTAAGGACTTAACGCTTGAAAATTTATAGTTTGACGTATGACCTAAAAACTTGGGTGATATCAGGAATGATATTAGGATGAAAACACCGTTTTTATCATTTAAAGTCTAACTTATAACTCTCTCACTAATTTGCTACATCACTTGCAACAATTATTGTCGATCGACTCTGCCTCAGTCCGCCCTCTGTGCGTGTATTTATTTTTGTATCGACGAACCCAGAAGCGATCCCGTGTTTTCCAGACAAAACTCGGGTCTTCATAGGAGCTGGTCGATAAGGTTGTCCCATTCATTAATAAAAGTTCTAGTTATGAGGGACTTTACTCATTTTTTTCTTACACATCTTCGGGCCCTCCATTGGCTGTGCATTATTGATACGGCTGTTGCTGGCCACATAGCAGCTAGGGCCCTGCAACTGAAGTGGTCCCCAGGGTAGACCGCAATCTAGGACCCTTTTGCGGGAAAGTGCTGGGACATTGTTTTGGAAATTTTGTCTGGGCATTTGGGGGCCCCCATCAAACCGTGTCCTGGGAATGTGCTCCCTGTGCTCCTAGGATAAAGAAGGAATAGTGGAGGAGCCACATAATGATGTCAAAATTAAACCCAAACTTCCTATAGGCACGTACACTTTCAGTAAAACAGATCGAAAATACTTCACGGGCTATGGTGTCTTCTCAATCGCCGGAATGAGATAATCATCCAATTAGACAATCTCGCTTGCCTCGAGAAGAGGAGAAGAATTATACGTAATTAGGAAAATCCTAGTGCATGATTTATTTTTGGTTGACACCCTCAGAGCAGCTATTTCTAGCTGACGTTGGTGAAACGTAAGAGAAGCCCTTCTTATATCTCGGTTGTCAGCTTAAATCTGAGGCCTGAAATCGCACCATGGGCGGAGCTAGAGTTCATTCCTATACTAATATAAATATTGAAACTACAGAATCCCCATTTTGCTCGCTAACAAGAACATGGGGATTCTTACGAGATTCGAGAAGTGCGTACGTCTCGATGGCTCACATCTCAATGATGTTATTTTTGAAAAATAAAATTCACATGTGTCTACTTTATTAAAAATATAAATTATCTTCCCTACGCCTTGTAGTTTTTTCTATTATCTTTTAAAGCCGCATAACTTAATGGCCCACCCTGTATATGATATCCCTCAAGATAAGTTTGCATATCACACCTAAATCCGATTGTCTATAGGATATTACTATTTCTCACAATTCAAGTGTTTTTTCTCCTATGAACAAATAAATCGTTCATTTCAACGAAGTATGTATAAATATTGTTTACTGTGATTCTTATTATAAAAAAGACCTCATATTCTTTCGTAATGCTTTTTTCAGAAATGCTATTGCATGTTGGTCTGATTATATTCATGAAGCGTGGATTTGAGGTCACTGTTAAACAGTTCATTCAACAAGCCTATATTGTAACACATGTTACATTGATAAAGTAATATTGCACATTACAGTAAGTGTATTATTGCAAATAATATTTACATTGTTTAAACAGGGTTACTGCTAATTCATCGTATTCTCTCAAAAACTAGAATGGACCTAAAATGCAGCAAATTTGACCTTATATTTAATAACATTGGCTATTTAAGTAAAATCTACATAGACGTCATATGGGCCTCAGATAGTCGTCATATTCACGTCATACAGACACCATATCATTTTTGTATTTAGTACTTTATACGACTTACCATGCCGTCAATTACTTGTGACGTTCCGTCATATTGACGTCATTTCTACGTCATTCTTGTTGGTCGACGTACGTCAGTTCATATTCACTGGGCCATTACCTTGTCCAATGCGGGCTTTTCTAGCTAATATTCAAATAATATTGCTTGTGTAAAGCTAGTTTATATCATATAAATATGACATCCACAGGATGTAATTGTATTTACAGTGCATAGTGATGGATTCTCGTAGTTCGTAAATTTTCGCAATCACAAGATGTATTTACTTTGATGCGTGCGAAGTAAAATCGTGATTACTGTTATTGATCACTCAAAATTAAAGATCCATTATTTATTTCAAAGAAACCTCCGGTAGTATATGATCAATTCCCATGTACACATAGTACTTATTAAATAAGTAATTATACTGATTCGAAATTATGCTCGCTTAGCGGAATCATTAATTTTGAAACAACTCTATAACGATGAAGAAAATGATTAATGAAAGTATTTCCCGTCAAAAGCACATCGTGTTTATTTAACTTTCTTTGCTGGATATTTCCATCAATCAGTGCGCGGGCAGCTCCTTTTACCAGGAACGAGCAAGGTTTCCGAATTTAAGAGAGAGATAAAAATAACAGACATTCGAAGTTTGAGGGAAAGAAGTGTTTGGAAGAGATGCACATGTTCTTTTGGAACAAAGCAGCTAAAAGCGATTCACAAGAAGCAATAAATATAGTGTTTTTCAGTAAGCCCCCCCCCATATTTATTTTTTAAACGGGTCAATAAGCTGAAATGAGGGAAAAGGAAAATATTGCGTGAATCATTTATTGTAACATAAAAATAAAAGTTGAAAATTTCAAGATGACTGATGAGAGCCATTTTTGAACATTTTCTAAATGAAATTTGGGATCATGTTAAACATGGAGCCTATATATGCCAAGAAACTAAGGCAATGCTGTACATGCTATAAAAACAACCCCGAAACTTACGTCAAATTTATGGAATTTTTATTTGGGGATTTTTTTGAGGGTATAATGTTCTGGGGGAAATAACACAATTTTGGTCATTTTTTTTAAAATGTGGCAATACTGAGGGATTTTTTGTGCTTGTTCTGAGGAAATTCTGGCAACGCTGTGCTTTGACAGTTTCACCATATGAACACTTGAACACTTTCCTTAGTCTAAGATCCAGCCTCTTGAATCTGCAAATATATGTTTACTTTGTCAGCGGCGATTAAATTTAGAAGAGTTCCTTTAAGAGCAAATGCCCTTGTAATAAAATTGAAGAGCGGGCGTGAGAGTGGCCTATAATTCCGCCCTTGCTGCTGGACCAGCATCAAGAAAGACCGACTGCTATTGATCTGGGTCGCTGCTAACCACGTTGTAAACTGACCAGTAGCTACGGTGTAACGTGGCCATTAACCATAACCAAAATATGGATGGATTTAAAATAATGAATTGAAAATCCCATCTCTACTTCGATGGTTGCAGTGTTGCCAAACTTATTAGCCCCAAATCTACCGTGGCGGTTAAATTGAGTTCGGCTACTGTGATATCTTAGCTTATTTGCCATCTTTTCCAAATTACTACCGAAATAGTCGGGTTGTAATGTTAATAAATACCAATGACCATTATTTTTAAAATGCATTACCTGATCTACCATAATCGATATCATAGATCCGGCAACACAACACCAACTCGCTGTCAAAAACCTGTCATGTCTATTTGAGGTTACGACTTTGAAGGAAAAACACCATAATCACAAATAAATATTTATTTGTATATCCTTGCATCACTTAGCAAAATATTTGCGTACAGTTCTTGAAATTAGCAAAAAACTTCTTTTTATAACCGTTTTCCAAAATCCGTAACAGTGGACGACTACACGATGAGCGACGATGATCGGGACATCGACGTTGAAAGTGATGTATGTTTATAACATTTCTTGCATTTTGTACAATACTTTATGGGTGCATTTTTAGGAAGGGGATGACTCCGATTCACGGCAGACTACACCTAGACCAAATATTGGCGGGCAATATTACTCTCAGGTATGTAGCAAGAGACCTGTATCACAGTTGATAGAATAGTAGACAAGAGCTCACCAGGACTATCCCTAAAGCTAAGCACCCATAAAGGGTCGATGAGATTAAACGAGTTAACTCGCTAGTAGCCGGTGAATTCCCTATCTTATAGTAAAGTGGCCCAGTGTAATCATGTTCACTAGCCAACTAGCAGATTGTAAACTATCTACAAGAAAAGTTGAAAGCTGGGCTACTTATTCGCTACTTGCCGGCTTCTGGGCTTGTTAGGTAGCTGTGTGTCATTAATTTGATTATAGCCATCAATTACTTTGCATCAAATCTCCAATTAACTAATTTTCATTAAGTTAGTTAAAATTTTTTGATCCTGGATACAACTTTACTTTGATCCGTATCTAGTAATGAGCCGGTAACAATCAGTTTTACGTAAAATAATATAATAATAAAGTATTTTTGCATACTTTATTGATGTTGTAGATTGTGCAGTATGGTCTGCATACATGAAAAAGAGGATTAATTTTAAATTTTTTTTTTTAATTAAAATAAATAATTACAATCAGTAATGAATCTTTGAACATTTTAGGCAGAGAAAAGAGCTCATCATAATGCACTGGAAAGAAAACGGAGAGATCACATAAAAGATAGTTTTAGCAGCCTGCGAGATTCTGTACCTGCATTGAATGGAGAAAAAGTAAGTTTACTTAAATCTAACTCTATTGTACACAATAAGAGAGTATTTGAACTATGTTTTCTAGACAATAATAACTTTTTGACATTCAAAGCAAAACAAGCTTAATGGTTCTATCCAATAATAACTTTTTGACATTCAAAGCAAAACAAGCTTAATGGTTCTATCCAAGAGAGAATTATATTGTTTTACTATTAACCTGAGAAACTAGAAACAAATATGTTTAGTTTTGAAACTAGATACAACTATTCCTATTTCTTGAGGTGTCTAGAGAAATGCACTAAAAATCCCTGACTTTGGTGGGTAGAGGAGGATGATGTCTCTATTGAAGATTTCTTTGATTGTGATATAAATGTATACTTACCTACCACTTTGTAGTTGTGTGCTTTTTATTCACTAAGTAAAATAAAGTAGGGAATGAATAACAAATTAAAAATCTATATAATTTTGGATAATCATGTTACTGTATTTTATTGTATTTGTCGTTTTATCAGGAATATATTTTTAAATATTGCACTCCATCAATCTAACAATGGTGAGACATGTAAGTGTGGTTCAAGCAAATAATGAAAATCTTTCTAATCTATCATAATAATTCAATTCACCAAATTATATAGTGTTCACATTTTTCAGACATTGATTGTATATATTTTTAGTACAAAGTGCAAACTTTTTTGGATGCTTTATGTTTATTATGCACGATATTTAGGATTTACCTGTACTGTGTTACAACAAACATTACATTACTATTATTATATTATCTACCACTCTGAGCACAACCAGAAATAGGATGTCTCTGTTAATCTATAGTTTACTAATGTTTGCACCTGAAAAGAACGGTTTCTAACTCCATTGCAGGCAAGCAGAGCACAAATACTGAAGAAGGCAGCTGAATACATCCTATTCATGAGAAAAAAGAACAGTTCTCATCAGCAAGATATAGAAGATTTAAAGAGACAAAATAACTTGCTTGAGGCACAAAGTGAGTTCTTTTATATTGTTCACAAAAATTCTGCAGTTGTCATAACATGGTTAGTCAAGTCAAAGAGTAGTTATTCGTGAAATGCATTTATAATCGCCGGTCGGCCCCATTGATCCTGCGAGTCATCTGCATTATTGCAGCGAAGCTGATCGTAATTTTTTTGTTCATACGATAGAATAAAAACTAGTTTCATATCAGTACGCAATGTAACAAAAACTGCGGTCGGCTCTTGGACTATTACTGAATGGCAAATTATAGCGGCGATCTAGGTATCTAGGCGGTGTTGCCAAACTGCCATAAAATATTTACAAAACTCTACATGTATACTGATTGGAGTTCGGCTCTTTTCATGCTGTCTCGGTAACTAGCCATCCTGTCAAAAAGACCGACGATTGGTCATATACGCAATTTGAGGTTATAAAACTTTTAAATTTCAAGCTGCCGTACCTCTTTTGTTACTAAACTAAAATGCATTCAATTCATCAGGAAAGGATCTGGCAACACCGCATTGATCTCTGACTAAACAATAGCCGCGTTCAGGCGCCATCAACTGTTTTGTGGACGCCATGCTTTTGGAGTCATATCTCTAATTTTACTTGCCATGTCTGTCTTCTCTTTATATAACTACTCTTTGGTTAATAATTGTGGGTTTTGTACATATTGACGTTACTCTTCATGAACCGTGTGATGTTTGTATTTTTACAGTTCGAACACTGGAAAAGGCAAAATCGACGGGATCCTTTGGAATGGATTCTGACGCAAAGGACTCAATTTTTAACGAAACTGAATCAGATACCTCGGACGCAGACAGTGGAGTGCCACAGAGACAGACGAAAAAAATGAAAATCGGGTCGTACCATTGAAATTTTAGAATTAAAATGAAAGCATTTGTGGTTTAATCTGTAATCATATTATTTTCCTTTTAAGATGTTGTTTAGGTTTAATACAGAGTTGTGGTTAAAACAGTATGTTGTAATTTTAAACTATTTCTGTTTTGGTAGTTCCAAGTTTCGTCGATTTTGGGCTTTTGTACAAATTTCTCAATTATGCTGTAAATAATGCTTTTATGAACACAACTGTTTTTCTTTATTTTTAGGGTACATTTTTATACCGTTCGGCTTTGCAAGAAAGTTTTGATTCATGGGCTATAATTTTCGACAGCATTCTTTTAATTTCTACGACAACATCGACGAATATAGGGAAAATATGTGTTTCATGACATTGAACGTCGAACCATAATTCTCTAATGATACATCACAAAGCAAACTTGACAGCATTTAATGTAGGTCTGAATTAAAATGCGTATAAAGGTATTCATTCATTCGATAACAAAGTGCAGATTGTTATTTCTTACGCATTTTCGTGACTTAGTTTCCTATTCCTTCAGCAGTAGTCTGTTTCTAAGAGTGATTCGGTTTCACAGCACCGTGTAGCTTTTCTGAAGATTCTGGGAAGATATGGCAACTGCGCAAATTCAAAATTTAAAACATGGAACAAGCATATTCTGTCCGTTCACAACGCGCATGAGCAAATGGTGCTTATTATTATAGCCCGGTAGTTATAGAATGTAGAAATTTGGAATCTTCAAAAATGTTTATTTTTATGCCTAAAAAAGGACAATGCATGATCTAGTATTGGATGAAGCGACCTTCATAAAGCCGAAAATGGCACAGAGGTAGCAAATCGTGCGAAAGTGATTTCACGGGAGGTGGGGGTCTTAAATTGAAATTATAATAAAATTTTGCGATATTTTGCATTTTTTCTGAAAAACTAAAAAAAAACTACTTGAGCAAGCGTAAAAGAGCGTTTCAAAAGCATAAAAACGGGCTATACACTTTGCTAAATTTGACTCGAAAGTATGAAAAAACCGGAAGCAAAGAGGGTCATGTCACGGAAAGCGGCATCTTGTCAAGAAACCAATTAAAAAGAAAAACGAAACCTTTGAACAAAGAGGAATAAAGAAATAGAAAAAATGCGCGTTCTAAAAGTCCAATGTCTGGGCTTTGTCACGCAAAAATTGCTTCGTTACCTTGTGATGAGATAGAAATTGAACATCGAACAGCACGCTTTAGACCCAAAAAGGTCAATATTCCGACGTTTAAACATTTTTTATTCGAAACGAGTGCCCTAAACGGAAAACACCCTATCTCGGTAATTTATAGTATTCGTCGAGATGTACAAAATGGGCTATGCAAAATTTCTTTTCTATTTGCCGCAGAGAAGTTATCGACTTTTTAGCGTCGCTTCAAACATTTTTACAGGATTTTTCTTTGAAAACTTCTAAAAAAAAACTAAGATGCGGATCCAGTAACATACAAAACGTCCATCATTTAGCTATCTAATGCGACCGATCTCGAGTCGATATTTTGAGAAATGACGGGCGATACACGAACATCTACCCTTTTTTCGACTTTAACCGCCGTTTTGTATCACTCTTCTCTTCGTACTTTGACGGTTCGTACTCGCTCGTAAAGCGCCGAGTTTCTAGTTTCCGAAACGGTATCGTTTAAAACCTTCCACGAACCATCAAAGAAAATCGGAAGTGAAAAAAAAACAAAAGATCGTCGCTTAATATTGTCGAATATGATTGACATTTTCAGCACAAAACTGTAGTGCAATGATACACCCCAGAAGTACAAAACCATGGTAAGTATCATTATTTTGTAATAAAGTTGATTCATCTAACTATTACCGATATTTTTGTGTACCTAGGTTCATAAACGAATCAACTTTTGAATTACTTAAGAAAATGGAAACCATTATCCATTTAATAATAATAATAAATTGCCTTTTTTTCAGGTCATTACAAAATAGAAAAAAAGTGATAAAAAGGTGGAGTGTCAGATTATGCTGCCTAAAGACAGACACAACTAATATTCTACTGTTAAAAAAAGACAAATTTTAGCTAACACAGTTCACACCATTGATCAACACAAAAGAAAATCATATAATATTACACTTCACACAGAAAGGAAATAATCAATTGCCTATAAAGCTGCGTAAAGTTAAATTCTAGCCATCCTATTGCTTTAAGGTCATCTTTAAACCTTCTCTTTAAATATCGCCCACTACTTTTTCTTTTAATATAACCCGCTATTACAAGATACAACAATCCGCAATAAGATAGTGTATGAACATACATAAAAAATAATGGTCCACATCATTAGAATGAGCAAATATGTGATTTTCACATCCAATTGCTTTATTTCAGAAGGAATTGCTAAGACCACCAGTGTTTGATTTTGTACCTAATAAAAATAAATGGCGTATCACAATTTTGTATTTCTCTGAACTTCTTGAAAATGTTAATATTTTTGTGCATTCAATATGATGTTTTTGAGATATTTTGAATTTGCGCAGTTGCCAACTCTTAGTAAACTAACTACTGCTACAAGAATACGTTTGTGTAGAATTCGGCATATTTTTGTAAGAATCTGGTCCGTTCATTGCCATGGCCCTATTCAAGAGCATTTATGTGGTTCTATATACTAAGCATATTACATTATATTTTGTTGGAAATAGATGTCGCTTTATTTGAACGAAAATGACCCAATGACGTAGCAATCAAAAAACTTCATCCAAACCGTTTCTATGTTCCTGTTTCTAATTCCAAAATTCAAGGAATGGTAGACCAAATCGATTTGTTGTTTTCTTGTTCACCGAAGCTGCCAGGCAGGGCTAAAGACCTTACGAACGTATTATAAAGACGCGCGGTTTTTGTAACAAACGTCGTCTTTACAACGTCTCTAAGATGTACAGCGTTCACAAGCCGTTTCTAATATCTCAAAATGAAGTTTTTGAAACGTCTTCTAGATACAGTGGTAATGTTTGGGAAATAGCCTAGTTTTTTCCCCAGCAGCTGCCGATATTTACGAGATGTGTTCGTGCCAGGAAAGCGTTCAACAAGACCTCAAATGATGAATAGTTCTTTGATCGCCGCATGGACGAACAACGAAGCAGGAGGCCGTCGATCTCCGAGGGAGTTGCGGCGAAGACTGATCTTGCTCTAAGATGGCGAATTACGTGAGCCTTGCTTAAGGTGGGAGCGAAAAAGTGGATTTTACGTCTAGAAAAATGCGTAGAAAAAAATGGCGACTATGGAGATAGCTGGGAGATCAAAGTTTCCAATGGTGAATAAAAATCCCTTGTGCCTGAAAAAAATGTGGGAACCCTATGTTTGAAACAACCCTCGTGTTAACTTCCGATCACGATTTGTATCTTGATTAGTAAATTGACAGCCAACTTGGGAAATGTGGTTAATGTATCAGAGGCACGTTGCGCGGTGCAGAAAGCGCTAGTATGATACAAATGTGCCAGCGTCATCTACTCGCGAATAGTAAAAGCATCAATACTATTTCCAATTAAGTTCAGAAACAAGTAACGACACGCTTCGCCAGCTATGATATACCTTTTAGTTCTTAAACTTACTCTTAAAAATGAATTTGTAATAATGAAGTTTTCTTAAGAAAGACAGCGTTACACCAGACCCAGAATATACGTGGAAATAATGGCGTCGAACAGATTGGCTCCGACCAGGTTCAAAGCAGAGGATACAGTAATTTTCTAAATAAAAACCTAATAATTTCTACAAATCAATATATTTAAATACATATAATAGAAAATAAGGATTCAATTAAGTATATACATTTTTTTCTAAAACAAGTTAATGTATGGCAGAATGATTTACAAGGATTTTTTATGCATTTCAACATGAGCAGTATACTTAACTCTGCTAAAGAAATGTTCATTGCACAAACTACAATATCTCTTGAACAATTTGCCTACGTGAGCTTCCATCCTATGATCCTGAGCAGCTTGATAATTGTGGAACACCATTCCACAGTGCCCACATTTGATGTTTCTCTGCATATTGTGCATCTTTCTCACGTGTCTTTTGAGACTCGAACTTGTTGTATATTTACCGCCACATTCCTAAAATTTTAATACATACATCCTATGTGTTGGAACGCGTACTAGCGTCAGCCTGCCACGCCGCTACTGGCGTGACGATCAGACACGTCGCCAAACCTTGAAGCTTGTAACAGCCGTCGGTCCACGCGCGCCGCAGGCCGCACTAGGAATGCAGTCAGTCGTAAAGAGTCAGTCGCAGTGTTGCCAGAGCGAAGTTTAAAATATCCGTCACACGTATCGCAAAATTCCTCTACGGTCTAAAAATTTAAGGGGGGGGGGAGGCTTAAAATAAACAACAAATATATTTTTTACATATTTACTTTTTTTTAAACACTGTCTAAAAACCCCACTAAAAATACAAACAGTAACATAATATAATTGCAATTTTTCGTAAAAACATAAAAAGTATACCTCTAAAAAAACAAAACTGTCTTTGGTTTAGAATTAGGTACTAATAAAAAATGGAAACTATCACCAATATCTTAGTCTTAATAGAAAAAAAAAAAACAAAAAATAAGGACAAAGTAGAAGCGGAAACGTGGAAATGCCTACGTTTGCTTATTTTATTCACAGTCAGAATCAGAAATTACTTCTTCTTCAGCTTGTTCTTCCTTATTTACATTATATAAATTCTTTTTATATTTGTTTAAATGATTCTCATTAAAACTATAGGATAAACAGCACTGTTTTTTTTATTCCAAGTCTAATTTAATTGTAAGTAGTGCAGACAAAGTTGATGGTATTATTTTATTTCTTTTTTTTTTGTTTTGTAATCAAGCATATAAGAAAAAGTTCGCTCAACATCAGCGTTTCCATGAGGCAATGTTAAAATGATTAGAGCCAGTTTACCTATATTGCGAAATAAATATTCGTCATTAAAATTTTTGAAGTCGTTTACAAACGACCAAAATTCAATGACATTAATTTTTGTTTTTAAAATTTCATCTTTCTCACTATCACTAAAATAAATACATATTTTCTTTAGTTCCAAAATTGCCTTTTCGGTTTCAATATGAAGGGCAAATTTTTTTAAAACGGCGTCATGAAAGGTATCACTTATAATAAGACGATTGTTCATCACATCAACCGGTGAGAGAAACTTTAGCTCTGAAAAGAAGTTGTCTTTGATAGGAAATCTTTTAAGGGACTCTTCTACCGATTTTTGGTAAAATGTGACACATTTTAATTTAAATTGTTCGATTGCCGTGTTATTGCAGTGTTTTATTGCATCCATTGTATGCGGACCAACACTCACTTGTTCAATTGGTAATAAGCAGTGGGGAGCATTAGGATTTAGATTATATAATTTCTCATTTTTAAAATATTCTGGTCGCATAAAGTTTGTACATAGATGACGTACAAATCGCTCATTCTCTATTGATATGATATTGAGCATAACTTTCTCTGATTGAAAGAGAGCATTAAATTGGTTAAAAATGGGCAACACGAATTTAAAAAACATTAAATACGCCTTAACAAATGGATTCTGTAACTCATTAAGTATTACATTTGCTACAGGATTTTTGTCTTCAATGGAAGATGTCCCACTGATCCAAAACTCTATCAACACATTTGGATAAAGCAAGCCACCTTGTTTTACTAGGGCTTAAAATTTTAATTTTGACTTTTTGAAATATTCCTGTAATTCTTCAAGAACACACTGCCTTTTTGGGCTTGTTGAGAAGTAAGAATATAAGTTTTGTAAAAGAGCTTCAACGTTGCTTGGAATCTTTTCAACTGCCGCCACCGCCACTAAATGAGCAGAGCGGCAAATGCAGCCATTGACCATTATATTAGGATTATCTTTTAAAAGATAAGTTTTGAAAGATTCGTTATTGCCCATCATAACACTAGCGTTGCCGGAACAGTATCCAACAATATTGGTAATTTTTACTTGATGGATATAACGCATTTTTTAAAAAGAGAATATAAACCTTTGGCGGTACCTTCATCTCCGTTTATTTTAATTATATCTAATAAATGGGTTTTAATTGAATGTTTATGAATATACCTTACAAGAATGCATAGTAGTCTTGTATTGCTCAGGTCTGTACTCTCATCCAATAAAATAGAAAATGGTTTATTTTCCAATTCTGAAATTATTTCGTCTTTAATAACAGGAGCCAGAACATTTTTAATTATACTTATGCATTTGGATCTTTTTAATTTAAGTGAGCTAAAGAGATCTGGGGCTTTAAAACATAATTGACTAACTCCTGTTATATGATCAACAGTTATAAAACTTATATAATGACTTACAACTAAAAGACTATATCTTAAGCAAGCAAATATTTGCCGTTTTTCCAACTCACGTGCTTCCCCAGACTGAAAAGTGCTGTCTAACGTTCTTACATTCGAAATTGCTTGTACATTAGTGGCATGCCTTTTTGATTTCGAATGATTCACTAAATGTGATTTTTTAGCACCCATTATTTGATTACAAGCTTTACATTTTGCTTTCAACTTGTCATTTTCAATAGCCTTTAAATAACGGATCTTCTAGCCATGATGAAGTAAACATTTGTTTTCGTGTCTTTTTCTTAACAGGTCGAATTATCAGGCTCAGACCTGATTCCACTAGATTCCGCTCTTCTATTTTGTCTGTATTCAGGTTCGGGATGCTCCGAGTCCGACACAGATGCAGTCGAAGTGGATGGTACGGCCACGTTTGGTTTCACCGTTTGTTTTTTAGAAGGATTTTTATCAAGAAAATCGTTAATGGTCTGCTGTTTCCTTTCCATTATTCCTATTTTCCAGAAGAAAAAGCGTTAAAAACAAATTTCGCGACTAAGATTTATTTCTGGATCAAACTATAATATGTTAGATATTTAAGCAGTTTTGTTACTTACCAGTAGATTTAATATTAAAATCTGCAGCAAATGATATATCAATAAAATGATCAACACAAAAATAAGAACACTAATATAAACGAAACTAAACAGTATACAGGGTTATCCAAATTAAGTGTCCACCATTAGTAACTTTGTTATTAGTGAAAATACAAAGTTGTTTGAATTAGCAAACTAGTAGCATTTTTAACGCTGGTAAAAATGAGAAATAAAAAAAAACAATTGAGAGTCGTTATTTTGATTTTTTTCAGTAAAATAACATTTTTTTAAATGGAAACCCCTGTATATTATATTTTTTTCTGTTAAAGCATCAGATTTTAAACAAAAAAGCTTACAATAACTTTTCTCCTAGGTTACAAATTGTTGAAGTTATGGCCTCCAATCTGAAACAATTAAATTGTATCGACAAACTTTATTTTCAACATCAACTTATAATCTTACAAAATACAATAACAATTTTTTTTAAAGAAGATGCTCGAAAACACCACCTTGTTCTTCAATACATTTTTGGGCACGTTTTTCAACTGCTCGAACTGTCTTAAGTATGGTCCTACCATCTATCTGGGTTATCTTTTCCCTTTAACGCGTCAAGGTTATCGTACCTTCGCTTGTAAATTTGGTTCTTTAAGTAACCCCACAAGAAGTAATCAAGTGGGTTTAGATCTGGTGATCTGGGAGGCCACTGTATTGGGCCATTTGTTCCTATCCACTGATCATTAAAAGTAGTACTTAGAAAATGATAAGTACCTCTGGAGTTGTGGGCAGGTGCGCCATCTTGCTGAAAATGCAGATGATGTCTACTTATAAGATCCAATTCGTCTAAGAAATTAGTCAGAATTTCTGACATAAATTCCACATATCTTTCACCAGTTAGGGTTCCCTCATAAAAGAACGGGCCAACAATTTTTGAACCAATTATACCGCACCAAACGTTGAAACTGAAATGGACTTGTGGGCCTGTTGGATGTACTAACAAAAGATTTTCTCTTGACCAATAATGGTGTTTTTTTCTATTAAACATTCCAGAATTTGAAAAATTTGATTCATCTGTCCATAAAAGGTAACGAAAGTTATTTACATTTTGGCGACAGAAGCTAAGATACCAATGGCAAAAAACAAGTCTTCTCTCTGGATCCCCTGCCAAAAGCGTTTGAACTGGTCGGTACTTATACGGAATAAATTTGTATTTTTTTAAAATCCTTTGAACAGTACCATAACTGAAATTAGAGTCCTTGAGAATATCTGCTATTGAATTCTCACGATAAGCTTCAAAATATCCAATAACTGCAATTTCCGTGGCCTCGCTTATTATGAATTCTTTTTTTGCCCTTGTTTTAGCAAAAACATTTTCGTTGCCCCTAAATTTTCGATAAAGTCTCAGAAAATATCGTTCATACGGTTGAATGCGAGCGGGATATAATTCACTGTAGTATTCTCTTGCTCTCAAGGAGGATTTTCTGCACACTAAATAGCATTCTAACATATCACACTTTTCTTCATGGGAGAACATTTTTCTTTAAATTAATGACACAATAAAGCTTATAAACAAGTATTTACACTAATGTTTGACATTATTTGATTTTATCATTGTTTTCCAAAGCCTTCTAGTTGCGAGTATGTCCAGTTTAACAATTTGTCGCTTATCTTAATGCTGTCAAATCGCGAACGCCATGTTGTTTTCATAGCCGTCTTAATATTATAATACTGCAAATAATTAAAAATATTTATCGTTATTTTGACTTTATTTTTGACTTTAGCGGAAAAGTCATTATGAACTTTTTTGTTTAAAATTTGATGCTTTAACAGAAAAAAATATAATATACAGGGGTTTCCATTTAAAAAAATGTTATTTTACTGAAAAAAATCAAAATAACGACTCTCAATTGTTTTTTTTTATTTCTCATTTTTACCAGCGTTAAAAATGCTACTAGTTTGCTAATTTAAACAACTTTGTATTTTTACTAATAACAAAGTTACCAATGGTGGACACTTAATTTGGATAACCCTGTATACCCAGAGCTGAAAAATACAATACAAAGCGAGAAACCTAATATTATGTCTGCCTGCTGAGACCTGTTAGAAACGATTAGTATTGAAAGCAGTACGTACGCCATCTGTTATTGAATAAAAAGACAAGTGGAATAATTCTCTTCTCTGTTCCTAGATGGCTCAAGCGGCACCAAATGCACCAATTTTATTATTAATGTGATAACAAATCAGACTCTAGCCACTGCCTGTTTAGGATTTAGAACGTTATTAACGTTAAAACAGTGAAATAAATATGATAGTTTTGTATGTAATAAATTCCGCTACATTTTGGGCTAATTTGCTCTACCGCCGCTACGCCGCTCTTCTCAAAATAATCCGCTACAAATAGCGGAATTCCGCTACGTATGGCAACACTGGTCAGTCGTAAGAAGCAGTTGAAGAACAACAGCAGCCAACGCACGCGCGCGGAACGCGGAAGCCCGGTATACACCTGTCGCGTATCTACACATTCATGTACAATTACTCAATAAACTGTTCTGAACCGAAGACCGCTGCGAGTTGAATTGCTCTTCTTACCTACCCTCGAAACAACTGCTGCCGAATCATTAATGAGATTAAACTTTCTTCTCATAACTTGCCAAAAACGAGTATTTTGTTGCAATAACTTTAATTTTAGTAATAAAAAATAAGTTTTCATTTATAAAATTTAGCTATCCCGACTTTTTCCCAGTTATTTTGGTCAAACCATCTATACATACCTGACAAGTAAATGGTTTTTCTTTACTATGTGTCACCTGGTGTGTTTGCAAAGAATTCCTCTGCTTGAAAGCATTCCCGCAAATATCGCACTTGAAAGGCCTCTCATTAGTATGAATTCTCATATGTATCATCACCAGTTTCCTTTCCTTGAACCTGATGCCACAATATGGGCACTGCAGCTCAAATCGTTTATACTCGGCTAGTTTATCTTTCACGTGCTGATACACGTGCGACGAAAATTCTTTAAATCTCGGTATAAACATATCATTACACAGAACACAGTGCAACGAAGAAGTGTGGACCATCATGTGGATATGCACGCAAGCCATGTACCTGAATTTCATACCGCATACTTCACAAGCTGGGTATTCTGATGATTTCCTCCACAAATCGCTCTGTATTGTTTCATCTATCTCTGTTGTATTTACAGTTTGTCCTCCGTTAACGTTTTGTATCTCATAATTATCTTCAGTGTTGTTATCTATCACATCTTCTTTTTCTTCTTTGACTGCAACACGTTCTTCAGACGTGCTTTCGTTAATATCATCTATATTTTTCCCTGCTGTTAATTCTTTTGCTACATCACTAGATTGATCAGTAGCTAACTCTCGTAGTGCACTGATGGTTATATATTCGGGATTGTCTTCAAACTCACATTCATCTTTCTCAATTTCATTATCTTCTTTTTCCAATTTCACGACAACTTTTGCTGTAAAAAATGCATTTTAAGGTGGTGATGCAAATGAAGTGGCCAAAGTAACTGTTTTAATAACCTTGTTATGAAAATTTGTATCCTGGGTCGCTAATTACGAATCTTTTACGAGAATTTGAGAAGCTGACTGTCATAGCTTTATAGATATAAAATTAATGTCTCACTCATGTATGTGGCTGGCTGATTTGTAAGAATAGCACATGCCAATCAGTCCATTGAAATGTTTTTAATAAAAACAACTATTATCCTTTACATATAAGCAGCAACAAAAGACAGACGATAAATGAATTAAAATATAATACTTGAATTGAGCTAATCTCACCTATTTCATTTTGTTGTTGTTTCGCCTTGTTCCTAGCTTTGTGGTATTGGTCCTTTGCAAGTTTCTTTAAAATTTCTCTCTTCTCTAGATGGTCCTCATTTTTTGAGCAGTACGATTTCGAATGAGTTCTCAATGCTTTCCTACTGGTATGCTGGGTGCAACAGTGGAAGCAAAATAAATGATCTTCCTTATATTCTTTTGCTTTCGCTCTGAGATGCTGAGATATGTGTTTCAGGAATAATATGTTGCTTTGAAAGTCCTTCAAGCAAAGTGTGCACTGTTTCACCGAGCTGTGCCGCTTCAAATGGATTTCTAAATAACATTTCCGAGTGAATCTCGATCGACAAGGAGGAATAACGCATGTATGGATTAAGCCAGCATCAAGCGACTCGCCCTGAAACGAACATTTTTAAATTATATCACTGGACAACTGCTACAGGTCATGTGGTTAGTTTTAAAATATTCACATTTTATCCTAATTCGCATTCCGATTTTTTAAAATGGTTAAAATTAAGATTGTTTGAAAAAATGAACCAAGATTGCTGGGCCAAAATAGGTTGGTTATGTGTATCCCATATGCCTACACTTCACTATCGGCGATGATCGTTGATTGTGTGATGGTTCATAATAGGCACGATCATCAACATGGCGATTCCTTTTGAAGCGTGTCCGAAAAACCGACAATTCACGGGTCGGAGGCGATCAAAGACGATGATCGGCGAGTACAGCCGAGTATGCCCTCTACACGATCGAGCTCGCGCGTAATAGTTTGTAATTACCGATTGCGAAGAGCAGCCATTATACGCGATCAATTTCAAGCTACAAGTTATACGAACCGGAACTATTCTGAATAAGGGTTGGTACGACAAGCTTAAAGAGCACGTTGTGATGCTGTCAATTGACATTATTAAATGACAATATACACAAGGGACTAGCGTACAAAATGCAACAACACACACAGTGCGCAGAAAACTTTTGAACGTTTTACCCAGTTGTCGGAAGTTAGTGAATGGTGTGCCACAAGGGTCAATTTTGAGTCCGGTTTTATGGAACTTGGAAGTGTCGGACCGTGCAAAAAAAACTACATTGCGGAATTTATGCTCCCACAATACGCAGACGACGTGTTAAGGCCGGTCCAGATGCTACGTTTTGCACAACCTTTTTTTCTGCACAGTTCAACACGTTGCAGATAAAACGTTGCGCGTAGATTGGAAAAGTGTGCAGTATTCAATCCGGCGCGAAGACTATACGGTTTCAATTCGTCAGGCGACAATGATCTTCGGCAATGTTCTCGGGAGTTTGTCACAGAATTTATTGCATTATACAAGGTGTCCAGAAATACATTTCCCTTTTTAAAGTAGAGTAAATTGGCAACAGTGTAACTTAGCGCGGTAGGCGTAGCATCCGTCCAGTGTTGCCAGGTCTACGGATTTTTCGGTAGATCTACCGATTTTGGTTCAGGTCTACCGAACTACCGATTTTAAAGCAAAATCTACCGAAAAGTGGACTTTCCTTTCAATTGAATAATTTTTGTTCCCTATATAAGAGGAATATTTCTGATGCATAGCGATAAAAATAATGACAAAAGTACTATTATTATTCGTGCTAGACTAGATATATTTTTATTCTCTTTGCCTGACATTGGTGTGCCACATACGCTGATTCTTCGCATCTGGGGAATCACCGAAGATACTCGATGATTTGGCTACATCGCCTAGGCCTAGCGGCTCGTGACAAGTCCATGCCTGTATTGTACGATTTCGTGTACTTAGTAATTCCGAATTCGGCCAGTATTAGTATTGCCTCTCTTGCAGTCAGTTTTTTGCGTGCGTGTGCCCAACATTATAAGGAAGACTGGGAAGAATTGCCAGATTTCCAAGGCTGGCTTAAAAAAGCAATAAAGTGCGCGATTATGCGAAATGCATGGTCTGTGATAAAGATATTAATATCAAAAGTGAAAGAGATGCACTTATAAAACAGAGAAAACTGTTGTCATTTGCAGTTGCATCAAAGAAATTAGAAAATGATATTAAAGAAGGTAAAATTAATTAATTTATTTGAGATGATTTGAGATTATATAGATTATTTTATTATTTCCAGGAGAAATTGGTTTGAGTGCATTTTTGGACGAGCATAATTTGCCATTCCTGCTGATGGACCATTTGGCAAAGCAAAATTGGTAGATAATATGACTGATAAAAACTTTTACAAAAATGAATTGGAAGAATGATTATCCAATATAGCTTAGACATTTTTATTTTATACACTTTTTCTGTTTTTTATTAAGAATATTTGATTTTTAGTTAGCTAAAGTGAGATATAAACTGTTTATTTTGGTTTTGTCTTTCTGTTTTAGAGTATATTTTGAGTTAAAATTGTTTTAAGTAAATGCCTTCATTTACTCTTCGGTATTCAATCTACCGAAAAATTCCATACAAACAATATCGTCGACTCCCCCTGGCAACACTGCGTCCGTTGATAGTAACACTGCGTCCGTCGATAGTGGATCGATGGGATTATTTTGTAAATATGGAGCGTTGGTTTGGTGCGCATCGTGCGTTCATTATTGAGGCATATTTCAGGAACAATAACTCGTACACAATTGCAAGGGGAAGGTTTTTAGGCGTGTGGAAGACGCACCAAGCTATTGGGCACCAGAGAATCCAAAGCAAAAACACGAAAGGCCCCTACATAGCCCAAAAGTAACTGTGTGGTGTGCAATGTCGGCTTCGGGAATTATCGGTCCGTTCTTTTTTGAGAAGCAACATGGCATAGCCCAGACTGTAACTAGCAATCGTTATTGTGCAATGCTTCGGGAGTTTTTGGTAGCTCGGCTACCAGAACTTGATGGCTTTGATCAAGAAAAATGGTTTCAACAAGACGGCGCTATCGCACATACAGCCTGAGCAAGCAAGTCGTTCGAGAATATTTCGCTTTGGAGACCTAAATCGGCCAGGTAGGTCTCCAGGTCCCACCCCATTATTCGTTCAGATCCCGTTCGAGACTCCATAGGACTTAATCATTTTAGTTAGGGCTAAAAGTCCAAATCTGGCATCATAGCGCGTGCTATTGTTATATTTGTACTCGTAAATAAATCGCGAAAATAGTAGTACCCTAGCGAAATAAATTAGTATAAGTGCTCTGTAATATTGTACTAAGTCTACTAAAGTGATTGAGTGATAAATAATTTGTAATACAATTGTTTATTTAGCACAATTCAAATAATTGGATTGCATGGGTTGTGATAAGCTGTGGAATTTCGCTGGTTGATCTTGGAATTTGACTGTTTAGTGGATTACAGTGTTGTCGGCTGGTGTTGTTTACCTATAGTAGGTACCTATGACGCGTTCATCGGCTTACTGTGGCGAATGCAATTCTAGGATTGTTAAGCAGTGCCCTAACTTACAATGTGTAGAGTGTAAGAAATGGTACCACTCAAATTCATGCACCAAAATTACTGAGGTGGAAGAGCGTTTTCTAGTCGAGCAGAAAAAACCCTGGACTTGTAGAAAATGCAAAAGGCTTACGATGAATGACCTGAACGACAGAAGGGCATCGTCTTTAGGCATAAATCGACACAACTCCCCCGTTCCTGTAGGAAAGGATTTGGATTCAATTTACTCTCTTCTACTAGAGTTAAAAACCGAAGTATCAGTGGTCCATAGTGACATGATTGAGATGAAAACCTCTCTTGAATTTTTAAATGGGATGTATGAAGATCAACGTCAATTAAATAAGGTTATGAGTGACATGATCGAGGAAACCAGACACGAAAACAAAAAACTGAGGGAGGAAATGGCAGTAGTCCAATCGAAATTGATGGAAATGGAAGCCGAAAAAGTAAGTACGAAACTTACCATAAACGGGGCATTTAATAAAGAAGATAGCGAGGAGGCATTGTTTGATAAATCCCTAAAAGTGTTGAATTTTGTAGATAGGTCGATTGTTAGGGAAAATTTAATAAACATTAAGGCAATTTCGGTAAATAACAGAGCACCTATTGTTTCTGTCTCACTTAGTAGATCTGAAATGGTAAAAAATATACTTAATAAACGTCGCCAAATTGATGTATTGAGTACCCAATCGTGCGGAATAAATACGTCAAATACTAAAATCTATATAAATGAATTTTTGTCCGATTTAACTTACAGCTTATTAAAAGAGGCAAAAAAATGTAAAGATCAGGGTTATAAATATGTCTGGTACCAAAATGGATCAGTGCTGTTACGTAAAACAGAGGGTGGCAAAATTATTAAAGTGCGTAACTCACTACACCTAGAAAAAATCCTTTCAGAAAGGGAACAATAGGTGCTTCCGAGAATATAACTCTTCTTAAATATTGTATATTTCTCCTATAAATAGATATCTTTCAGCTTCTTTATGTATTCTAAAGACGATCACAATAATCTTTTAGACAACTATCATACAAGTTCTAATAAAATTTGTTATACTGTTAACGACGTAACTGAATTCACTTTGGATAAAAAATATAGCTTAAATGTAATTCATGTTAATATTAGAGGGATTAAAACCAATTTCGATGCTTTCCTGTTATTTTTACGTTCATTGGAGGTAGTCTATGATGCGATAATCATGTCCGAAACTCACGTAGTCGAAAATTGCGCTGATTTTGGTATTGAATCTTACTCCATTTTCTACAATGGAAGTACTATAAACTGGTGTGATGGTACTATTATTTATGTAAAAACTAATTTAGTTCTGCAACATAAAGTGATAGATATTTAAAATCATAAATTCCTACGTATTGAGCTATTAAAAAATAATACAAAAATCGGCCTGACGGGACATTATAGACTGCCTAGCCTCAATGAAAGAATATATTCCGATATAATTTTGAGTTTATTCACACAGAGTCATTTTTCTCCCTGCACCATCGAGATTTTTTCAGGGGATACTAATATTAATTTATTGGACAAAAAAGAATATGCTTCAAATTATCTTAATTGCTTGGCAGGATTGGGCTATTTTCCGTACATTACGATACCCACTAGAAAGGATTCGTGTTTAGATCATTTTTTTGTGAAAACCTTAAAATTATGTAATGCGGCCGTTATCAACAGTGACATAACTGATCATTTTCCAGTAATATTAAGTATCGATTTGAAGCATGGCGATGCTGAGAAAGTTAATAAGTTCCGTCGAAACACAAACTTTAATATGTTACATAATCTTTTGAATGATGAGTCATGGCAAAGTATTTTAAATGAAACCGAACCCGACATTATAGCTGAATCAATAACAAAAAAAATTAAATATTACTTAGAACAAAGCACTACTGTAACTCCAATACACACTAGGTATAAATGTTTAAAGCCTTGGATCACTAAATCTTGTTAAGTGTATTTGTCATAGAAATAAATTAAAAACAAATGTTGTGACATCCAATCATTGTCCACAAGCTGTGAAAATATATACTGAGTATAGAGATTGCTTGTCTAAGATTATTAAAAAAACCAAATATTCTTACTATAAAAATAAAATAATGCAGAACTTAAGTGATTCAAAAAAAATGTGGCAAAACATTAGGGAGGCTTCAAACGATTTTCAAGAAAAAAATACCATAAAAATCATTAAAAAAAATAATGGTCAAACTACCACAGACTTACATGAGATAGCTAATGAAATGAATGACTTTTTTAGTTCAATTGGCAAAAAACTTGCATCTAAAATAGTACCAAAACCACAATCTTATGAGCATTGTTTGGATAAATCCTTATTTCTCCAGCCTGTTAACGAGACGGAACTTGTTAATGTCTTTGGTTCGTTAAAAAATACCAACTCATGCGGAGAGGACGGCATATCCTCTAGAATTATAAAAGAAAATCATAAAAGTCTCATTAAACCATTGCTGCATCTGATCAATATTATTTTTTCTTCTGGTTGTTATCCTAAAATTTTTAAATACTCCATTGTCATTCCAATCCACAAAGGTGGGGATAAAACGGACATAAATAACTATAGGCCTATAGCTTTGTGTAGTGTGCTTAATAAAATAGTAGAAAAGTGCATCAAATCAAAGTTATGGGACTTCCTTGAGAAAAATAAAATAATATCTCCGGATCAGTTTGGGTTTAAACCAGAGGTTAGTACTGATAATGCGTTGTATAATGTTAACCAATTTGTGACAAATAGTATAAATAAGGGTCTTAAACCAGTAGCTGTTTTCTTAGACTTAAAAAAAGCCTTTGATACGGTCAATCACAATATTTTACTCAAACGTCTAGAAAGCATAGGAATTCGTGGAGTAGTACATAATTTATTTAAATCTTACCTGGAGAACAGATATCAAAAAGTTAAGTTAAGCGATGTTATTTATAGTGAAGCTCAAAAAGTAGTTGTTGGCGTACCGCAAGGTACAGTGCTTGGCCCGATTCTGTTCTCAGTGTATGTTAATAGTCTCTTAAACTTAAACGTTAATGGTAAAATTGTGTGCTTCGCAGATGACACTGCCCTTTTAATCGCTGGTAGTTCATGGCTTGATGCTTTTACTAAAGCTGAACTAGACTTACACAAAATAAAATGCTGGTTAGACATAAATCAACTGACTCTAAATATTGAAAAGACAAAATTTATATCTTTTTCTATGACCAGAAGGGACATGCCTAATAAAGTGTATATTCCCTTACATAACTCTTCATGTAGCCTTCAATTAAATTGTAACTGTCATTTAAAAATACAATCCTGTGACAATATTAAATATTTGGGTGTCTATTTTGATAGATTCTTAAGATGGGATATACATGTTGACTACATCAGCAAAAAAGTTAGGAAATTAGTGTACAAATTTTCGCAACTAAGGAATGTCTTAACCTTTAAGTTAACGAAAATGGTGTATTTTTCACTAGCGGAATCTATTTTAAATTATGGCATTTTGTGCTGGGGTTCAGCATGTGAATCCCTTTTACAACCATTAAAAGTGGCTCAAAAATTTTTATTAAAAATTTTGTTATTTAAACCTAAAATGTATTCTACCGATCTTCTTTTTTCTCAAACAGAATTTCTAAACTTAAGGCAACTTTACTGTGTAAGAGTTATACAATTTTCTTTAAAGTATGGGATCTTTCATGAGAGAGTTAACCACCCGATACAAACCAGGGCAGTAACTGAATCGAGATTCTGTTCTTCTCTGCAGAGTTTTTCTTTTACTCAGAGAAATATTTCTTTTACAGGTCCCATATTGTTAAATCTATTACCGCTTCTCATAAGGAATAAACGAATTATTACAAAATCCATTAAAAACAAAATTAGATACTGGGTAAAAACTAATTATATACTTATTACAAAAAAAATAGTATGGTTCTCTGAGTAAACGAATACCTGTATCTGCGCTGCTACATGTGTAATATATAGCTTTACTACATTAGATAGTGCGTATATATCATTTATATTAATTTTGTAGTGTAGCTTTTTCTATTGTTGTAGTTTTTGATAAGAAAATTAAATGTTAAATGTTATTCAGGGATACACACAAATTTTAAAATTCATCGTATCCTCGTCTAACATTCCTAGAGCCTGTCAATGTAATAATTATTTGAATAAATTATTTGAATTTGAATTTGAATTAAATTAGCTTCTTAATGTCATAAATACCACCGCAAAATTACAACAAAATTAGGTAAAGGACATTTAAGATATTTACGATTTTTTTTTTAAATTTCAACATCCTGTATCTTCGGAACCAAGAATTTGCGGACATAGGTTTATATGAACTTTTTGTCTTAAAATTACTCAATGAATCGTGTGTTAAATATATGGTATATATTAAATTAACACCCTGTATGTGTAATCTGACTATCTGCCATTTCTTTTATTATTATATAATTTCGCCGTGCGCTATGTGGGTTAGAATCCCGTCCCAAGAGAAATTTTTGTAGGTGGTAGACGGTCTCGCCAGAGTCCGTGTGGCGTTCCCCCTTTCCCCGAATTCCCCCTATAGCCCCACGGTACCCCATGGGTGTTTAAGCCTTAGGCCTTTGTGGTAGTTGAAATAAATAATGTGTTAAAAATGCAAACAAATTTCAGGGCAATATTTTTCATATATCTCATGATTCACTGAGACAACCCTTAAAGAGTGTTTTATATATCTTATTTCTGATTGCAATGTACTTTATTCTTAATACGTTGACTGTGTTAAATTTCATTTATGTGAACATCAATTTTAAACTTATTAATGTTTAGTAAATTGAGTTACCTTATTGATTTAAATTGAATAAAATTGTGAAATTGTGCTTGTCCCATTAATGTATAAATAAATAAAACCAATGATCAACTTAACAAAATGATCCTAGCTGGACATAGGGTGTTGGAATACTAGACTAGAAATTGCTGATAGAACAGAGCACAGTTACTATCACATTCCACTACTGCAGGCTGATACTGATAGATTTAAGAAAAATGATGGGATTGACTGCAAAGTATACTCTAGAAACATTCACATAAGGGTAAACATCGAACATTGACACTCGTGGAAAATGGCTGGCATAACTCTAGCTGCAAAGGAAATTGCCTACAGAAATTTACAGGTAAGAATATCATGATCTGTAATACTGACCAGAGTGTTGCCAATTTGCAACAAGAGCATTACTATTTTGCTACTTGCTAAAAGGTCCCTTATCATGCTCCTGATCAAAGGGTAACAATTCAGCTGACAGACTGTCAAAACTGGCTTCTAAAAAACGCATACCCAGTCTCCAAGGCTATATAGGATAAGGTAAAGTCTGAAACTAATCCTGTGGTTTATGTGCTGACAAAACTCCATGTTTTTCTGGCTAAATGAAACCACATATATAAAAATAACTTGTTACTAGCATTTTGATCACTTTGGTAGCATTTCCCAAAGTACAAAAAGTTGTCATTTGTACCCTGCAAAAGGCCACCGAGGTGACTGAAATGTTAGTGAATATGTTTTTTCTTTTGGCTATCATATGGGATGACACATCTAGCTGCTTATTTGCTAAAGAATTCCCTAGCTACAATAGTCAAAAAGTAGTGAAATGGTACATGTCTATGTGTCCACACAAATTCAGTTCACTGTCAGCTAAGGACGAATCTCTATAATAAGGATCTAAATAATATTGTGTAAGGGATGTGATGAGGAAAATGCATAGTGGAGAACATTGAGGTTCTATGGATATTGAGAACAGAAGCTCTCCTGGGCCATATAACCACCTTTTTCAATAGTTTGGACTGCACAAGCAACTCCTGGGAAGGACCTACAGGTGGTCTAATTGGACTCAAATGCTGTGATCATGGCTTACTACCCTTCCCCCTATACAGAACACAGATGGTCATAGTCAGGTATGAGAATGTCACCTCATCAGAGTTTAATTCTAGAATGAGATGCTTCTAGTATTATAAATTTTTTAGTTAATGTGCAACGTTTTAAAAGAAACTGGGTCTAACAATCTGAAAACGTGGATATTTGTAAAAACAGCGTGGGTTTAACTGTACTTGGTTTACTTTGTAAAAAAATGTGAAAGTTGGCATATCTTGAGAATGATAATATTTGTCATGAAGTGACTCATTTGCATGTAAACAATTTCCAGATCTTATACTTGCCATACAACAAGTGAAGATATTAATATATGAATAACATGCAAAGCCAATTTTATTAATGCTTGAAAGATGAGAAGGTAACATTAAGAACAACATACTATTCCATCCAGTAATTTAGCTTCTGTTGCAACAAACTCTAGAGGCTCTTGTTTAACTACTATTCCCTCATCTGCAGCCTTTATTGATTCTCCTAATTCTACATTTACATCTTCTATGTCTGGTTTCACATCAACTTCAGCACTTGTTGCCTCACAATCCATATCTTGATATTTGTCAATCTCTTCTGAATAAATACATTCTTCAAGAGGCCCAGTTACAGAGCATTCCATTTTCCTTAATTACAATTACAAATTGTTAGTTAAGAAACAATTTCAAGCTGCGACTCTCATCTCCCGACAAAAATTATGAGGTTAACACTAAAAAAAAACTCACATTACATGACCTGTAGTAACTTAAGTTGGTACAAGTAGGCTTCGTTAAGTAGTGACAATAGGGATAATTAGGAATTCAACAATAATCAGAATTTATCTTCATCCCAGCAAAACAACACACTCACAACCACAACAAAGTCAAAAAGTAAACAATTTTTTTGGATAAAAAAACCCAACACATACATAAAGGCATGTACAACTCAGTTCAAACCAGTGTTGCCGAACTGAAAAAGACGAAATCGGTAGATTTAAGGACAAAATCGGCAGGATAAAAAAATCACAAGATCAGCCACAGATCAAGGAAAAAAAAAGTATATTTTTGTATTGCGTGCACACATACCACACAGGTTCTTTTCGGAGCATCTGTTCCTGAAAAAATCAGTTCTTTATTACATTACAAGTTGTACAATGAACGACCTTTAAACTCCTTTGCATCCATCATTGAAACTCCGTTTGCCATTCTCTAAGATTCTGAATATTATTCTGTTTCACCCCAGAACTTGAAGCCTCATCAGCTGACACTTTAATTTATTATTCAACTATGGTCACAATGCCATTTGGGTTGCAGTGACGTTAAGGCTAGCAAGCCAACCCCCTTTTTTTGTAAGCTGTTATTTTTGAGACATTCAATTAAATGCGCTTTGGTTTCCGCATTGCTGCTTGGAGATGCGATAATGACCAGTCTGTAGGTGTTGTACACAAAAATCGATGTAGGGAAAACGGAATACGGAATATGCGTACACAATGTAGGCCACCCAAATCGACGTCCCTCGTGTGCCAAAGTGTACACTTATATATGATTGGTATGGGGCATAAAACTACATAGACTACATAGAATTTTTATCATTTCAACTCTATTTTTGGTCCCAGCTCTTTTTCGGCAGTAAATGCGGAAATATCCGACTTATTTTAAATTATGGTGGCAAATGATGTTTTTCGGTAGAAATACCGAAAAATCGTTAGGCACGGCAACGCTGGTTCAAGCCATAAAGTTCAAGCACACGTCACTGTCAGTTCTGTGCTGTCAACTGTGGTTGGGATGAGAAAAAGATCCATCGAAATGTGATTCAAAATTAATATATTGTCAAAAGAGTTATTTTTTTCATCTCTACAACTAGACTTCAGTGTTATGACATGTGTTCTGTGATTTTTATAACCTCACTGTTGTGTTTATTTTTTGGAAATGTGGTGTACAAGTTTCCGTATGGAAAGTATATTTAGCATATTATTTTTAAAAAAGTGGATTCGAGCTGATTCCAGGAAACTGAAAATTAAACTTCCTGGTTAACTATGGCTACAAGAAGGACTAGGATTAAAGCTGTTGCTAACGTACACCAACGTAGGAAAAATGTAGAAGAAACGATAATAAAGAGCGAGGAACTAGAGATATCTGCTAAAAAAGACATTTCTGGCAAAGTAGATACTGAGAAAAAGAGTGTACCAGCGCCAGAAGAATGTAAACTAGACTCGAATAATAAAGATCCACTCGATTATAGTGTTCCCATAGATGAAATACAAGAAACTAGCAATGTGACCAAGCAAGCCTCGAAAGCAACCAAAGAAGAAATAGTTGAAGCGCCTAAGATCAGCGCAGATGAATTTTTGCATCCTAGTACGGTTTTAGATCCCTTTACACAAAATAATGATGTAGGGTTCTTGAAACCTACAAACTTTAATACCAGTAGGTCTGCTGAAGTTGAAAAGGATATTGTTCAAATCACAAATATTGCTGAACTTAGAGAAAGTACTCAAGAGCCCAGCATCAAGAGAGCAAGTCTACCTGAAAGTTTCAGTAACAAGGATTATGGTATTAAAGGTAATAATTTATTTCTATTCATGGGTTATGTGGTCTTGGTTGGATAGTATTGCCATTTTCGCAAGTATTAATTATGGTAGAATATCAGCTGATTATCTAATTATATTTCAAAATTCCCTATTATGACAAATGACATAATTCTCCTAGGTCCATCAACACCAAGTAGACAGCATATTTTATTTTGTTTCTTTATATGCTACAGATTCATTTTGTATTTGCTAACAACTCTTTTATTTAGAAAAGTTCATTTACATACAAAAAAATGCGATAAACAGATCTTACTAGATTTACACCGGATTCATGGTCGCCAACATTACAAACTAATACAAAGATGTCACTTGCTGATCAGCTGTTCAACTCAGTAGATGTCAAAATGTGATGGATACCCATTAAATAGAGTTTATATACTGAGACAAACATTACAGATTTAAAATTCTAAAGTGGCACAATGTTTGATATATCACAAATTTCTAAAGCAATCTATCTATCATCAGTATACAGTACTGGACAAAAGTATATAGACAAATATGAATATTTACCTAAATACCTTTAGAAAACGAATTCATACTTCATTGCTCCATAAACAAATGCGTTATTAGTAGAAAAACTAAATTCCTTGTTTTTACATTATCTGCAATGAACACGATACAAGTCAGAATATAAGCACTTTTTTATGAGGGACAAAAATATGTAGACAAATCCTTTTCAACATTAGTTTAGTACACTTTCATGTCAGAAGAGGATTAGTTTGAGTTCATCAATTATTGTGGAATAAGTTGGGTGATTTTAAGACCATGCCGTGTGGTCAAAAAATTTCTTTCGATGTGAAAACTAAGATCATTGAAATATTCAAAGATGATCAACATCAAGTTGAAATTGTGCCAAAAATTTGAAGCTGAAGCATAAAGCAGTTTGGACAATATTGAACAAATATAAACAAAAAGGTATCTTGGAAGTCTCTAAGAGAAGTGGTCGGCCTAGAAAACTAAATGCTAGATCAGTTAGATTAATACAAGTAATTTCGACCAAAGATCCGTTTAAAAGCCCAAGACAAATAAAAGCCGAAATTGAGACAAAAGGAATCATCAGTGTTTCTACGAAAACTGTAAGTAGAAGATTGAATGATTTGAAGTTATTTGCACGTGGCCCGAGTAAGAAGCCGCTAATCTCGAGGAAAAACCGTAAGGACCGATTACAATTTGCACGGTTGCATCTTGATTGGAGCATCTATGACTGGAAGAGGGTATGTTTCAGTGACAAATCCAACTTCAATATGTTTGGATCAGATGGTGTTCATTACGTTAGATGTCCTAGTGGACAAAGATTGAACCCCAAGTACACTTTGCCCACTGTCAAACATGGAGGCGGGTCTGTTATTGTTCGAGGGTGCTTTTCAGGGTTTGAGATGGGACCTTTACATATAATAGATGGCATCATGGATAAGTTTGTATATACACAGATATACCAAAGCATATGGAAGACAATATGCCCTCAAGATCAATCTTCCAGCAAGATAATGACCCGAAGCGCACTGCAAATCTCGCAAAGAAATTCTTTCTGGATGAAAAAATACCAGTTCTCAAATGGCCTTCACAGTCTCCCGATATAAACCCCATTGAAAATCTATGGGAATACTTAGATAAGCAAATACGAGATAAAAATTATTCAAATAAGGATGAAATTTTTGCCGCATTAGAGCAAAAGTGGGGACAGATTGATGAATCTTATATCAAGAAACTTCTACAATCTATGCCGAGACGATGCCAGGCGGTGATTGATAATAATGGTTATGCTACAAAATATTAACACAAATATGGTTGGGTTTCTATAATTCAATAAACTTTGCTTCTTTTTTCTATTATTGTTTTGCTTTGTCTATATATTTTTGTCCTCCATAGTTCCAGTTTTTTTCAATTAATCTTTTATTGAAGGGAGTCTAATGAATTCATTTATGTATAAATGAGTATTATGCTATAACGAATTATGTATACAAGTTGGTGTATTAATAAAACAAGCTAAAAAAGAAATACAGCAGAATATTAATTTGTCTATATACTTTTGTCCATTACTGTATATAGGGAAACATGAAGTCTTTTCAAGGATAATAGTGAACCCACAGCTTGAATCATTTTTTTGAACCTAAGCAGCTCGTTATTCTTGCTTTCTATCTCAGCAGGAAGATAAAGTACACAGATATTTGTTTAAAAACTAAGTACTCATCCAAACTCTTCCTCTATTTGTCTGTCAGAGTGGTCTGTACTCTTGGTTAAGGTATGTAGATCTGTCAGGTCTGATTGCCAAGGTACCTCACATAGCCAGAAAGAAAGGATGAAACAGGGAGAGCAAAGAGGAGGAAGTGTTACTGTTTTTTTGTTTGGTTTGGTGTGCCTTAGCATTTTTAACCAGTATTAGGAAAATTTAAATTTATAGATAATGTATAGCTCAACTCCAAACCCAAAACTTGCTGACAGTAGTGCCAGCAGATATATTGATATTTTTCTTTCCACATCACCTCAATGCCCCTGCAAAATTCGCATATATTAGCACTGCTCTCTATGCATGTAACTTTGAAGTCTTGTTAGTTAATAGGTCTATGAGGGTCTAATCATCTAGATACTAGTCAAGGTCATGAAACTGAGGGGTAGAAGAGAATAGTGTTTGTTTTTTTAAGATTTATTTGGCATACAATTACATTCTTTTTAAAAAAACTGCAACAGTTACATAACATACAAATATTCAGAAAAACAAAACTTGCATCTCTAAGAGTTTTCACTGTCTATGAAATGTTCCTTTAATTTTCTTTTAAACATCTATAAATTACAAGTAGACTTTATACTATTATTTAGTTTATTAAATTCAAGTCATCCTTCTGAAATATTGAATTGCCAGTTATATTACTATTGCAATTTTGTAAATGGAAATCTATATTTCATCTTGTATAATAATTGTGGTAATCATTATTCAGTTCTATGTAATGTTCTAAATGTTGTGGCATAAGATGATTTTTTATTTTAAATATGCATATAACCAAATGTGATATGATTTTTTTATATTGAATATTTTATTTTGTAGGACCTGTAATTTTGAGAATATAGCTTCATTCACATGTTTCTATAAGAAAAAAAAATGTTTTCAGTGTTTCAAAAGTATTTCCAATTCGAATTTATAATTACAGATAACTTGCAAGGGATCCAGCAAAATGAAAATGAATATCATAGACCTCCACCTAGTCCAACAAAGATAAATAGATCTAGAATTAAAGCTATCCCTAGACTAGGCTATCGTAAGACAAGCTTTAGCGCTAGTGAATCAGAAGATGAAGGCAAGAGGAATAGGAACAGAAATGATTCTGTAAGTATTTTGGGTTTCAGTGTGCAATAATAAAAATCACTTATTATGTTTTTATGTTCATTATTTTTTTTTATACTCCAACTACCACGAAGGCCTAAGGCCTAAACACCCATTGGGTACCGTGGAGCTATTATGTCTCAAGACTGATATTTATTGTAAAGAAATGGCAAAAATCAGAAAGTAGATAAAGAAGGAGATAAACTTCATTTTATACACTTTCTATGTTGGTTGAAAATTCACATTTTCTTTAAGTATCCTATATATATGTTTCCAAACTATAGATTTATCAACTGTTTGAGAGTAAAGAGGAACTAAATAAACATCGAGTAGGTGTTAATAAGCAGAGGATTTGCGACATACCAAAGATTCCTGCTTTCATAGTAATCATATCGTGACTATAAGGTTGAAAACGAAAAATAGCCGCATGAAATTTTTGAACAAAATTAAAGTAAACATACATATTTTTGGCGCATTTTCTGATAATTTAAAAAGCAGGATAAATAAAAAATATTCACGACATCGAAGTCATTACCAATTCCTAGGAAATTCTATAACTCAATCCTACAAATATGGATGTTGTGTTACAGAATACGTCTACAATAATTGTACTTTTTCTCCTGTAATTACTGACGCCGCACATAGTGGTGTTGTAATAGGAAATAATACAAGTGTAAAGTGAGTTTTTACAATTGTACAACTTGTAGCGTATGCGTGGCAGAGCCCTGAAAGTGGTTAGCAAACTGGTCTTAAAGACATAAGAAAACGACAATCATTTTTCTTTTTTGAAAAGATCCTTGAGTTGACTCTCATTCTCCGTTTCATAGCTAATACTATCAAATACATTTTCTAGGTTTGCTCTGTTGCATCCCTTGCAGCATCAGAAGCAGTCACAGAGTGCATGTCTCCACACAAACCAAAAGAAACTTCGTACAAGAAAATTGTACGTACTGAGCTGACAAGGAAAGTTGCGGAGGCGCGTCGCGAGTTCCAGCGGAAGTTTGGTTTCGGCAAGCCGGACAGACAAAAACTCACAATGATGGATTTGATATATTATAATCCACAGGACAACCCTATGATGTAAGTTATCGGTTGTCGCTAAAGTAATCACATCTGTCCTTCCGCTTAACCCTTTAAATCATATTACATTCTAATTAATCATAACCAAAAGACTACCCTGATATTAATTCGATTATATAAGTATATGCAATCAAATACTGGCTTGTTCGAAATAAGGTTCTAGTCTCCATTTGTATAAGAGATACCAGACTGAATATTTTGAGTACTCATATAAATAAAAGTGTCATTAGTGACTATGGCAGGTAAATCGTTTATGTATAAAATAAAAAGAAGTGGGCCCCGGATGCTGCCTTGTGGAACATCTAACATAGTTTCACTTCCCGATATACCTCAATTCATCTAACAAGACCCCGTTGAGTCTCCTGTGGACCCCTGGACGAGTTTGAGAATCACTGCTCTAGAGGTAGAGTCTTAAGTCACTAGAGTTGCGAATAGTCAGTAGATAAACAAAACGCTTTCTCATTTCAGCGCAGATGAAAAATCCAAATCGAAGCCTGAAGCTGTCCCGAGGAACGAAGAACCAGCAGCTTCGGAATCAGTTCCAAAAGAACCCTCGATCCCAAGTTCCAACAAAGAAAACTCTGCCGCGGAAGAGGAAACCGAAATGCCGGTTCCTCAGATTAAAATCGGGCCGACAGGAGAAATAATTATAGATGAACAAAGTTTGGTTGTGGAGCGAGAAGATATTAAAAGGCAAAGGGAAGAAATACAGAAGCAGGAATTGATTGACGGGGATTTCGATACTGGCTATGGTATTTACAAGAGACACAAGAGATCCAAGACTTGGACACATACAGAGACCTTGAGGTTTTATAAGGCTTTAAATTCTTTAGGTAAGAATATGTACCTTTCTTTCTTCTTTTTTACATATAATTTCAAAAATCAACCTTCTATATTGCAATATTTTGGATTTGTCTACAATTTTTTTTATATGAGTATTGAATGCAAAATATAACCTTTTTTGTGTGAGCTCTGCACGAGATTTATTTTATGAATAGCTTTGATTCCAATTTCTTGCAAAATTTAAAACGCACCCTAAAAAAATTATGATTTTGACACGCTTATTAGCTTGGAATTTTTCAAGCTGATTTTCGCTAATTTGAAGAATTCTGAATAAGTTTGCACAGGGGTCAGGGAAAAATTCTAATTTGAAAATTTTTATGAAATTTGAATTTTGAAATTTGGAAAATGAATAGAAACTTCCGAAATTTGTAGAATAATTAGAAGATTTTGAAAATCGGAAAATAAAAAAATAGGAACTTAGAAATTTGAAAAAATTGGAAATATTGAAAACAAAATTGGAAGTTTCGAAATTTGGATTTAAAAATTGGGAACAAAATTTCACAATACACTTAAAAAAATTGAATTTTGAAAATTTTCAAAAAAATTGAATTTGGGAATTTGGAAAATGAATGGAAACTTCGGAAATTTGTAGAATAATTTGAAGATTTTGAAAATCGGAAAATAAAAAAAATCGGAATTTCGAAATTTGAACAAAATTGGAAATATTGAAAACAAAATTGGAAATTTCGAAATTTGGGTTTAAAAAATGGGAATAAAATTTTACAATACACTGTTTAAAAAAAATAAATCAAATTCGGACATTTTGAAAATGAATGGCAACTTCGGAAATTTGTAGAATTATTTAAAGATTTTGAAAATCGGAAAATAAAAAAAAATAATATCGAAATTTGAAAGAAATTGGAAATATTGAAAAAAAAATTGGAAATTTCGAAATTTGGATTTGAAAATTGGGAATAAAATTTCACAATACACTGTTTAAAAAAAATCAAATTTGGAAATTTTGAAAATGAATGGCAACTTCGGAAATTTGTAGAATTATTTAAAGATTTTGAAAATCGGAAAATAAAAAAAAATAATATCGAAATTTGAAAGAAATTAGAAATAATGAAAACAAAATTGGAAATTTCGAAATTTGGATTTAAAAATTGGGAATAAAATTTCACAATACACTAATCTTGAAAAAAATTCAAATATAAAAATTTTGAAAAAAATGATTTTTGAAGTTTGAATAAATAATTTTGAATTTGGGAATAATTGAAAAATTTGTGAATTTGGAAAATTGAAGATATGTAAATTTAAAAAAAAATGGAGATTTGGACAATTTATGGAAATTTCGAAATTTGAATTTTTTTTTGGATATTTCGAAATTTGAAAAAAATTTAATAAAACATTCGGAGAATCGATGCTCTTGTACTTTTGTTGTCGTTTTAAAAAAAAATCAGAATAAAAATTGTAGTTTGAAAAACAAAAACAAATACTTTAATAGCAAATCGAATTAAAAAGCAGAAAATAATTTTCAATATAGGAGACATTGTGTTACTGCAATAGTCCAATAATCAAGTATGGCTAATGAATTTGAGGTAAGATCAATATAAAAAACAAGATACTGACAAAAATTCAGTTATAGTAAGAAGCGTGGGTGCATTTAATTATATTTTCATAATAACTCCAATTTTGTAGCTGGAGCTGATATGCCTGTGTTTGAACATCTGCTCTGACCGACTTTTACCGTAAACCTTCAATACGGAGCAGGGTAACGTTTGTAAACAAAATAATTCTCCAAATCAGAAACTTCTGGGTAGCATAACTTTGTCAAAAAGGAAACTTTCTCATTTAAGTGGTTGAGACACTGGGGTTCCTGCCCCACCATATCTACGCCACTGAATAAAATACGCGATTCTGTGCCACACGGACAAAGTCGCGGTAGCTTTGATAACAACTGAACAGCACTTTATCGTTTGTTGCAGGCACCGATTTTACCATAATGACGGACTTGTTCCCCAATAGGTCTAGACGCGAGCTGAAACTGAAGTTTGTGAAAGAAGAAAAAACGAACAGGGCGTTGATCGACCGAGCTCTGATGCAACCGTGCAAATTCGATTACGCGGACTTGAAGCGCGAAGTTGAATTCGAAGAAAAAGAACAAGAAGAAATCAGGAGACAACAGGAGGAGGAGAACAGGAGGAAGAAGGAAAGAAATGTGGAAAGAAGGAAGAGAACTTTGAGTGAGTTATTTATTAATAATAATGATGAACTTTATGGTAGTCATTATCAAAACAAGTCAAAAAGTTCAAATGACCCATGGTCCAAAAGTCAATAGATTTTTGTGTAAATGGCTTTATAGTTTACAACTTTAAGTGCCTTATATCGACCACAATCTTACTAATTTTTATAATCTAATCCAAAACGTTTTTAAATTGCGTAATTAACAAATAAATGGCATTAAGGTTTTCCAAGTTAAGCCAAAATTTGTAGTCAGTAAGTAAGTTTCATTAAATTATTTTTTTTTTCAACGGTCTTTTACGTATAATGCGGTGAAATTGATCAACTCTTTCGAACAATGTTTCATCAGCAACTTTTCTAAAAAAAAAATAAGAACTACTTATTGAGCTCTTAGGTTATTGTATTCTATTTGAATCGTACGTATTATGTTTTCTGTTCTAATCGTACGCAATATGTCATATTTATTAATTCTTTTTTCACTATTATTCTTCTTTTTCCTTTTCTTTTTTAGTTTTTTATTTTATGTTTGAGGTAGTAATAAGCATTGACATGACATTTATGGTTAAGTATAAATGGCCATTGGCCAGACTTCGCCATTTGTAAGGATACATAATTATGTATGTGTTACAATAAAGTCCATTGAATTGAATTGAATTGAAAAAACACACATGACAACAGCGCGTCGGTCATCATCCCTCTTATCGAACCAGCAATCGATCGCAAACGGTAACAGTGGTTAGTTATCCTTTTGCATAGTTCTGCGGCGTTGTCAGATTTATTTTACTTTAAAGTCGATTTTCTCAAAAAAATGCCATGTTATATGAAACTTTTTGTTTATTTTAACCATCTCTATCACCCATTTAAATAATGACTTTTAGACCCTGTATAAAATCAAAAGTACCTGGATAACATACTAGAACAAAACTATAAAATATGTAGCAGAAGCATAAATAAATAAATAAGTAAAAGCATATAAAAGTTAAGGAGCCAACTTGAATAAATTGTTTTTTGAAAAAACTATAAAAAACGCTGTTATAGCAAATTAAAAAGTATAAAATAATTTTTAAGTATAGGAGAGTTTGTGATACTTCAATATAAAGTCCAACAATGAGGTATGACTAGTTTATTTGGAATAAGATCAGTATACAAATTAATGTACCTCTATTAACAAAAAAATATTGTATAGTAAAAAAGCGTGGGTTGCTTGATATTAAATCTTAGAATTATGTTTTTAGTTGCTATTTACAAAATTGCAGTTATTATAAAAATATATTTAATTACACTGAAAGCTTTTTTACTATAATTGAATTTTTTGTTATCTTAATTTTTATATTGATCCCTTTCCAAATTAATAAGTCTTGATACTTGATTGTAGGATTTTCTATTGCAGCATCACAAACTCTCCTATACTTGAAAATTATGTTCTACTATTTAGTTAGATTTGCTATTAAAGTGTGGTTTAGTTTTTATACTGTAACTTATTTCCTAATTTTTTGGTCTCAAAACGGCAGCAAAAGTACTTAGAATCAAGAGCTTAGATTTTTTGATATGTGGTATTCCAAATTTTTTCAACTGTCGAAATTTCCAAATAATTTTCAAAATCTTTGAATTATTTTCCAAATTTACAAATTTTCCAATTATTTTCCAAATTTTGAAATCCAATTTTTTACCAAATTTCAAAATTCATTTTATTTTTTAATTTCAAAAATCTTTTTTTTTTCAATTTTCAATTATGATTTTTTTCTTCAAGATAAATGTATTGTCGAATTGCATTAACACAAAACTCTCATACTCCTTGAAAATTATTTTTTACTTTTTAGTCCGATTTGCTCGATTAACTCGTGATTTTTAGTTTTTTAGACAATAATTTATTATCTGAATTTCTAGCACCAAAACGATAACAAAAGTACTCATATCAACAAAATTTCGATTGTTTTTCAAAATTAACAATGTTTTCCAAATTTAAACTTCATTTTTCTCAAAATTGCCAATTTTTCCTCAATTTTTAAATTCAAATTTCATTTCAAATTTTAAAATATCTAGAACGTTCAAAATTTCCAATTTCTCAAATTTTGAAATTTGTTAAAAATTTACAAATATTTTCCAAAATTGCCAAGTTTCCGAATTTTTAAATTGTTTTCCAAATTTTCAAATCCAAATTCTTTTCAACATTTCAAACTTATTTTTTTTTTAATTTTCATATTCGGTTTTCCTCTGACGCCTGCGCAAATTTTCAAGTTAATCAGATTTATTGAAATTGGTGAAAATTACGTTACAACATACAATTCAAGCTAATAAAAGCGCGTAAAAAAATGGGATATTAAATCTAAGAACATTTTTTTAGTATTTACAAAATTGGAGTTATGAAAATATATTTAATTGCCCTCCACACTTTTTCAGTATAATTAATTTTTTTGTTAACATCTTAATTTTTATATTGGACTTTCTATTGCAGTATCACAAACTCATATACTTGAAAGTGATTTTCTTCTTTTTAGTTCGATTTTTAGTTTTTTAAACTGAATTGTTAGATTTTCTGTATATCTTATATTTGACAATGACATTTTTAATCACCCTCTTGCCATTCATCTCTGGACACATTTCTCACATTAGATTGGGTGAATTTCAAAATCTTACATTTTTTCCAAAATTTAAAATTCAGTTTTTTTTTAAATTCCCCGATTGTTTTCCCAATTTTTTAATCCACACTTCTTTCCAAATTTCAAAATATCAATTTTTTTTTTCCAATATTTCCAAATCTTTTCCAAAATTTAAAAATTTTCTCAAATTTCGATATTTTCAAAAAATTGTTAAAAATTCCAAATTTATTTCAAATTTTTCTAATCTTAAAACTATTCTACCGATTTTCCAAATTTTCAAACCCAATTTTTTTCCAATTTAAAAAATTAAATTTTCAAATTCTTTCTAGAATGGCTTTCTTCTGAGTTAATTATGGATAATAGGACTATCCTTGACGGTCGCCACTAATTATTTCTGTTCGACGACAGGCTTGAATGATATTCGCAACCATTAATAATAAATTAATAACTTTGCAGCTGTTCAAGCTGAAAACGAGGCAAATGAATCAGCAAAGTTACGTAAGAAAGTACGCAGCAGAATAGAATCAAGAATCAATAACACTCTCAATAACATTAATAACTCACCTGAAAATGACAGTATAGGAACTATAAACGTGCACAGAAGAGTCAGTATAGATGAAACTTCAGAAACAAATAGAGTGCTTGGTACAGAAGAGACTAGAGCAGAACATGACAGAAATGAAACCAGAGGAGCATATGAGAGAAGTGAAAACGAAAGTTCACAACAACAGCACAATGTTGAGAATGTTGATGGTGTTGAAACAGAACATTGCACAAGTGTAGATGGGGATATGGATGAAGAACGAGTCTTGGAAGATGTTGATTCCAATGATGAGACTCATCGTAAGATAACCAAGAAGCGGAGGTACGGTTCATTTCACTAGTTTTGAAAATTGACGAGCAAGCTGACTAGCTAGAACTCGACCCTGTTTCAGAAAAAATCGGCTGCTTTAGGATAAAAAAATGTAATGTCTAGCAGCCCCAAAATTTTTGACTAGAATGTTTGCGGAATCATATCACTTAATGCTTAAATTCTTACAGAGCTAGCACAGAGAATAACAAGCCACCGAAGCTTCGCAGACACAGAACCAAGAAGAAAACTAACGCAGAGTCCATCTTAGAAGACAGTGACGCGGACGAATCTGATATCGCGTCGTTGAGCGAATCGTCCGATGAAGAGCTGGTTCTGCCTAGCAAACCGACTAGGTCCGGAAGGATGCCTAAGATCACCAAGAAGTATATGGCGGAGAGGGAGGTGCTCAGAAAAAATGTGGTGAGTATCTTTGATGGCACATTTATGCAAATAGTATATCAAATATCCTTCCGGAACATTATTTGAGAATTATATATCATGCTTCAGTTGATAGTCATTTGATATATGAATAGAATATTAACATGGGTTGCTGCACAGCAAATACATCATAATCTTGAGGTAATTCAAAGATAAGAGCTCAAATCTATATTCAAAAAACCTGTACTACATCCTTCTGATACTCTTTACAAAGAAACTAAAATTTTCAAAATATGACAACTATATTTTTTCCATCATCATCATCATCATCACAGACTTGAACACAAAAAAATTAAACACGAATATCGTACAAGGCCCACAGCTCAGGAAGTTGGTCCAAAGTGTTGCAAATGGCTCCAGGATGCCTAACCACGCAGAATGTTACTTAAGATGGGCCTTAAAATGATTTCCAAAATGCATTACACTACTGTCCTCAAAGAAAACGGTCCAAGTATTTGCTTTGGTGCATGGCCACAGCGAACACCAGATTTGACAACCAATGATTTGATTCTTCCCGAGAAGTTACGACGACGAGAGATATCGCTTGCTTGAAAGAAAATAGTCGTTGCGAAATAAGTGGAATGTTGGTAATGAGAATTATTTTCCAAATAAAAACACTCCGGAAATGTGTGTTTAATTTGGATTGGAAATCGTAAATCCTTTTCGGGACACCATGTGTACTGCTCCAACATCAATGTTTTAGTAAATCAGGGAGAAAATGTATAATTTTAGTAAAACTAAATGTCGTTATTTTTTGTCAGAAACGACGAGATACTGAGAATATCGAACCCGGTTCAATAATGGTGATTGCAGAGGATGGACCTAACAATGAGCCTGTTTACAAGATTTTTATGATCACCCCTGATAATGGCAGAACACCTGTCAATCTGAGTCCAGATTCTGTTTCGAGAGCTATACAACTGAAGAAAGGGATTGCAGGTACGATTTAAAAATGTATTGGTTTTTAATATGTTGTATATTCTCAGGGATCCCGGGTTGTGGGTTTGAGTTTTATACCTGCTATGGAAAATTTATAATGAAATGAAAAAAATAATAATAATTTACATACTTTTAGTACATCTAATATTAGCGATATTATTTGATTGTTTGTTTCAGATTTATTTAGCATTAATGCTACAATATCCATAATTTCCATATTACACAGTATATCACAAAATATATTATGTCTTCAAGACTACATATTTTTATACAAAATTTCACTTCAATGAATTCTGGTTTTTCATGAGATATTTTTTCGATTTCCCTTTGAACATTTTCAAACTGACACACATCTTGATATCATTACTTAATTTATTAATTTCGTACAATCCCTTTTGAAATACATACCGACTTGTGCGTTATATTGCTACTGCAGTTTTGTAAATGAAAGTCTATACTTCCTCTAGTAGAAAAATTGTGGCACTCATTGTTCAATACAATAAAAATTTTTTAAGTGATTTGGTAGATGATTTTTTAACTTGAATATGAAAATGAAAACCAAGTAGGCTGTGAAATTTTTGATATTTAACCCTTGTAGTTCTTTCGGCATAAAATTTATTCTAGTATATTTATTTTTATTTAAGATGATTCTCATAGCTTTATTTTGTAATATTTGTAATTTCTTAACTTGAACTTCTATAAAAGTAATTTATTTTCTTGGATATTTTTGAAATAATATATTCATAGTGCCCTTCAAATTTTAATTTACCGTCTACGTATATGCCCAAATATTTAAATGATTCGATTGACACAATTTTTTCATGATTCATTGTAAAATTTATCGTCTTTTGATCAAAAGATTTTCCTATTAGCATATATTATGTTTTGTTTGTGTTCAGTTTAAGTTTATTTACATTTAACCAATTTATTACGTTTTCATAACATTATTTAACAGCTGCATTGCAGTTTCAATGTCTTTATTTTATTTGATATATATATATATATATATATAGGTGAAAAATTAAAGCTTCCGCCTTTTGTTGGGTACTTCAACAAAATTTAAGCAAAGAGGACTCTTTATACTTTTTTTAATTCTCTCTAGCTTTCAATGGACTTTGCCATCATCATCAGGAGCTGCAATTACATTGATAACAGTAGCAACAATAGTGTAAAATGAATTTAAATTGACTTAACTTACAGTAGTATGTGAGGATGTTGCTAATTGTTGTTTACGTTCAGGATGAGGGAAAAACCCAGTAACATGGTGGGTTTTCCCTCATCCTGAACGTAAACAACAATTAGCAACATCCTCACATACTACTGTAAGTTAAGTCAATTTAAATTCATTTTACACTATTGTTGCTACTGTTATCAATGTAATTGCAGCTCCTGATGATGATGGCAAAGTCCATTGAAAGCTAGAGAGAATTAAAAAAAGTATATATATTTGCTTAAATTTTGTCGAAGTACCCAACAAAAGGCGGAAGCTTTAATTTTTCATCTAACTGGTCTAGACGACAATGACCACGTCTCAAAATATATATATATATATATATATATATATATATATACATATATATATATTAATGTATCATCAAGAAATAGTTGAATTTTGCAGTGTTGTAAAATATCAGGAGTATCGTTAATATATAAAATAAATGGCAATGGACCTAATTTGCTTCCCTGTGGCACACCTACCGGAATGTTTTTAATGTTTAATCATGTATTGCCAATTTTAGTTCTTTGACTTCTATTGATCAAATAATTTTGTAATAAGTTGAATACTGAACCTTGAAATCCACAGCAACGCAATTTCGTTAACAATTTTTCCCTGTCAATAGTCTCAAATGCTCTCTTGAAATCTAAGAATAATGTTACTGTACACTTTTTTTTTATCCATATTTCGCCTCCATTCTTCTACTACCATTTGAATTGCTGTTTCAGTAGAATTTTGTCAATATCTTATTTTCTTCAATATATTCAATGGACTTCTTCATATATGATAAATTAAAATTTTGCAGCAGAGAATATCTTGACCGTATGTGCGAGTACCGATGAGGAAGATACCGAGGATCAGTACGTCGAGGTAGAGGCACTTCCAGAGAACAATTATACAATCGCTCATCATGAAGCTGAAGTAGTGAACGAGGATCAGGCAACAGTCATGGAAATAGAGTCTGATTATGAACGCGTTTTGGTCGACGGTGTAGAAAAAGATGCGAAACTTAGCCCGGTGGATGGCAAGGAATCTAATAATTCAGAAAAAGTAATTTTGATACAATGCGGAAAGGAATGCGTGGCATCCGAAGTTGAAATACGCACAGATGTTAAGTCTGAACAACATATTAATTGATATTTCTAAGTGAAAAACGTTCGTACGTATTTATTCTATGAGCTATTTATATGTAATTGTGAATGAAAGAATCAGGGTCTAGCGGGGTGTTGAAAATAACTCAAACTTCAAGTTGTCAATTGGGGTCACAATGTAACTCGCTGGTATATTCTATTCCTAATTGACGCAGCTCTAAACCCAAGTTGGCCATATACGTTAAAGAAAATTCTTGTCAAAGGCATCGCACTTTACACTGAGTGAATTTACTGAAGGAGGATGTGATCTGAAGTCAAAATTAGCAGATTTTTTACTGTACATATGTAATTTTTTTTTCAATATTTTACAGAGTTCTTTATGCTATACATTTCAAATTGTATCATAAATAAACATATTTAAATAATACCCGTCTTTTTTTATTAATAAACTAAAAACATTGGGATGAAATAAAAAAAAGTAAATACTAGACATGGTATCCCTTGATGTGGTAGCACGTAGCATTCACACAGGAAGCTTAAACATAATTTTGCCCTGTTTCACGGACTTCACAAAACTGATTCAACTGTGTCTTGAATTAATCTTTATGATGAGATATTGAAATAATCCTGTCACGTTCAGTTTGCATACTCATGCAATGCATACAATTTTCTTTCAGTCAATCCATATTCCGCATCGTTACTATAGCAAGTAGATAAACTGACACAGTAGCTTTTTCTACCATACAAAACAAGGCTGACGGAGATCAAAAAAAGTAGCTCAATGGAAGTCGAATGCTGTTAGCTTGGTCTTGGAGACCTCTGACCAATATTGCAAAATGTTTTTCATTAAAAGTATTGAGAAGGGAATCTGAAATCACTGTATGACAAACAGCCCCGAAACTTGACGCCTGGAGTACCAGTGGTGCTTTAACACGGTTGTCATATTGGGGGATTTTCCCTCAAATTTAGGGATTTTCACTTCGGGATAAATGTTCTGGGGGCTATTACACGTTTCGCTGATAGTAAGCATCCCCGCTGTTTGAACCAGACCTATCCTTTCCATTAATTAACTGTTATTTGGGTGATTCAATTCTTAGGGATTTTTGTGATTGTTCTGGGAGAATTTTGTCTGGTCCATCTGGCAACGCCACGGGTTCATGCAAACCGCTGGTTTAAATAGTGGGAAATTTGTTGGAAATTGTTCCTGCTAATCTCCAAATTGTTGAAAAACTCAATCTTTTGTCCAAGATTCCTTTTGTCCAACCTCAAAACTTGTCGCCTGGAGTACCAGTGGTGCTTTGGTGCTTCAACAGGGTTGCCATATTTGGGATTTTTCTCCAAATTTACGAATTTTCACTTCGGGATATAATGTTCTGAGGCATATCACACGTTTCGCTTACAGGTAGCATCCCCGCTCTTTGAACCAAACCTTCTCCTTTCCATTAATCAACTGTGATTTGGGGGATTCAATTGTAAGGGATCCTTGAGTTTGTTCTGGGGAAATTCTGTCCGGCCTATCTGGCAACGCTGTGGTTTGACATATCCGCCCATGTGAACACCAACAAAGAGATTTTAGCTTATTTCTTGCAAATCATTGGTGTAAATAGTGGGAAATCTGTTGGAAATTGTTCCTGCAAATCTCCAAATGTTGGTAAAAAACTCAATCTGTTGACGTCTGGAGTACCAGTGGTGCTTTAACAGGGTTGTCATATTGGGGGATTTTCCCCCAAATTTAGGGATTTTCACTTCGGGATAAATGTTCTGGGGGATATCACACGTTTCGCTGATAGTAAGCATCACCGCTCTTTGAACCAAACCTACCCCTTTCCATTAATTAACTGTGATTTGGGTGATTCAATTCTGTGGTATTTTTGTTTGTTCTGGGGAAATTCTGTCCGGCCTATCTGGCAACGCTGTGGTTTGACATATCCGCCATATGAACACCAACAAACGGATTTTAGATTATTTCTTGCATACCGCTGGTTTAAATAGTGGGAAATCTGTTGGAAATTGTTCCTGCTAATCTCCAAATTGTTGTTGAAAAACTCAATCTTTTGTCCAACCTCGAAACTTGTCGCCTGGAGTACCAGTGGTGCTTCAACAGGGTTGCCATATTTGGGATTTTTCTCCAAATTTAGGGATTTTCACTTCGGATAAATGTTCTGGGGGATATCACACGTTTCGCTGATAGTAAGCATCCCCGCTCTTTGAACCAAACCTACCCCTTTCCCTTAATTAACTGTGATTTGAGCGATTCAATTCTGTGGTATTTTTGTGTTTGTTCTGGGGAAATTCTGTCCGGCCTATCTGGCAACGCTGTGGTTTGACATATCCGCCATATGAACACCAACAAACGGATTTTAGATTATTTCTTGCAAATCGCTGGTGTAAATAGTGAGAAATCTGTTGGAAATTGTTCCTGCTAATCTCCAAATTGTTGGTGAAAAACTTGATCCGGAACTCCGTCCAAGACTCGTTTTGTCCAACCTCGAAACTTGACACCTTGGAGTACCAGTGGTGCTTTAACAGGGTTGCCATATTGGGGGATTTTCCTCCAAATTTAGGGATTTTTACTTCGGGAAATGTTCTGAGGCATGTCACACGTTTCGCTAATAGCAATTGGGTGATTCAATTCTGAGGGATAGTTGTCTGGAAACCCTGTCTTAAGGGGGCCGAGTAAAAGTGTGTTTAGAATCGTCACGATATCGTCACTAACAGTTTTTTTTGGAGAAACCCTAATTTCGTAAGCATGAAGAATAATATAAACAGTCAATTTTCATGGAATTTGTATAATTGCAGTTATGTACAGACAAATACATATTTTCCGTAACAATATGGACATATTTGAAGTAAAAATACTAATTCTAATGATAGGAAATTGCAGGATTACAGAAGTAAAGCGGTTTATGTCAGCTGTCATTTGAATCATATAGACATAAAGCTCACCAGTTCAGTCATACCTATGACTTTTCCTGAATACACGTATTCCTTAAAAACTACGTGTTAATCTAGATAAGGAAGTGTGAAACACCTGTATAATTAAATATTTTAGGATACTTCCAAGTTTCCATTGGTAGCCACTTTGAACTTTCCAAAGCATCCCACAGATGGCAATCTGCGTCAATCTTTTCTCTGTTCATCTTGTCTACGTCCAGTGAAATGGTGTGCTCTGGAAAATTGAAATTATAAACAATACATCTTCAATTATTATTAGTACAACAATATTGCTACAGAATAACACCTTCGATCTTATTTTATTGTCAAGTGCTATAAAATTACGAATACTGATTAATAGAAAATGGAAAAATTATGCGGTAAATATAAAAAGTCCAAACGCAACGCAATTGGCGTGACGTCAGTATTCGCGACTTCTCTCCAGCTACCCCTCTGTGTTCATTAGTCAATCCAATTTGTTCTATAGTCGAAATCACAAAAGATGACGATTACACCATCATTTTAGTCTGTAGTAAAGACAAACGACAGCGATTTGTGAATATTTTTAATGAAGAACAAAAGTTGGTGTACCCATTTTAGGCGTCCATGTTTTAAATGCCCCCTTGAACAACTTGCAGCAATAAAACCAGACTTTACAATTATTTCGCAAACAGTATTTTCGTCTAATATGATTAGACTAAGTAGGGAACAGAATGAATACGTTTAGGCTGAAAAGTGAATGTGAAGAGACGCGCATGGCTGCCTCGGATTACTGTCGCTCATGTTCCGAGGTAGGTGCGGCCAGCAAGAGGCAGGTTATTCTCAAAGTTATATCAAACTGCAATGGTATCTCAAAAGCTGTGTGAGCTCTGTGTTGCTCCTTTTCTATGGTAATTTTAGCCTTCAAAACGTGTTTTTTTTTGGGAAATCTAACTGTTTTTGGAAAAAAGTGACAAAAGTAGCTGGAAACCACACTATCTGCTTTTTAGGATATACCATTGATTCTAAAATACATACCAATTAAATCCAAATCATCACCACCCTCCTTCTTCAAATCCATAGTTCCTGCTGTATCTTGTACAGGATGATGTTCAGTATTATCATAATATCCTTGCTGTAATGACAAATGTAACTTAGCTTAATATTTGCTGACTGGGTGTAGAGTATAAACTTTATTTAATAATGGTGATTAATAAATCTAAATATCTAATGCATAACTATAGCTTGAAATTAGTGGTGTTTTGAACCATCACAAAATGGATTCTGGCTGGAAGCAACAGTCGTATTAGCATGAATTAATTTTTTGGTTACCATGTCATAACACTAGTATGTGTTAAAGTAATCCCCTGATTTGGCCTCTATTTGATAAATGATTATTTTTCAATTTTGTTGTTTTTATAAT